CCAGGAGTATCAAACTGCTGGCCCACGGGTCGATTGCATCATGCCCATCCCAGCTCTGGCAATGTAAAAAAAGTTGCAATATGTCACAAGACGTCACATGACACGGCGAGTTTGACACCTGTGATCTAGATCCTTTTCAGTTAGGGTTCAGGCCTGATCATGGGATAGAAATGGCATTGCTTGCACTTTTTAATGATCTCTAGTGGCAGCAGGATGGAGGTAGTGCAGCTATCCTTGCTTTACGTGACCTCTCTGAGGCTTTTGGTACCATCAACTATGGTATCCTTCTGGAGTGGTTTCAAGGGTTGGGAATGGGGATCTCTATGTTGTCCTGGTTCACTTCCTTCCTCTGGTTGCTCTTGGTCAGTGTTGATAGGAAGCAAGAGGTCCAGCCCTTGTCTCTTATTTTACAGGTTACTACAGGGCTCGGTACTTTTCCTGCTTTTCTTTAACATCTACATGAAACTGCTGGATCAAATCATCTACCACCATGGGCTGAGATACCATCAATATGCTGGTGACAGCTATTTGTTTTAGCCCATGGTGAATTAAGCAATGTGATAACCTCACTTTTACAGTGCTTGGGGGGGGGGTTAAGGCAGTGGTTCTCAACCTTTCTAATGCCGTGACCCCATAATACAGTTCCCCATGTTGTGGTGACCCCCAAGTGGGTGTGGCCACCAATAAGAGGGAGTAGGACAGCTAGGGAAAAGGGAACAAAATGGTGGACAGCATGGTTTGGCGACCCCCATGAAATGGTCGTTTGACCCCAAATGGGATCCCGACCCACAGGTTGAGAACCACTGGGTTAAGGGGTTGTTGGGGAACAATGGGCTGAAACTGAACCAGGCTCTGGATTTGGGCTTTGTTGGTCTCTAGAAAATTGCCATCTCTGGTCTTGGACAAGATGATATTGCCCAGACAAACCCAATGAGTAATCTGGGAGTTGTCCTGGACCCAGGATACCTGTTCACAGTAACGTACCACGAGGGACTTCATGCAACTGTGGTTTGTGCACCAGTTATGCCCTTTCCTGGACCAATAATCCCTCTCACAGTCACTCATACCCTAGTCTCCTTCTGTCTTGACTCCCTTGTGTCATTCACGCCATAGTCACGTCCCTTCTTTCAGTGTGCCCTCCATGGCACTGCTCTTGAAAAGTATCTACCATGTTTCCCTGTGGGGATGGGACGGGGTCTGTGCATAGGATGGAGAAGCAACACGGCAGCAAGAGCGTGGTGGCAGACCAGGTCGTGGTGGGCAATGGCAGAAAGGGTGCTGAGCCTGGTGTGGGGTAAGTTGGCCCAGATCCGGAATGCTGCCCCGTGCTTGCCTCCGAGCGCCCTTTGCCAATGGTCACAGGTTGGCAAACAAAGGTTCAATCAGGCTTTCTAACTTCTTGCAAGATCTCAAGAAGTTAGAATGTCTTATTGAACTTTTTTTTTGTCCCACAAACATGCGACAAAGGCTGAGAAGCAAACAGAGAAAAATAATGCAGCTGAAAGGTAGGTTAGTAAAAAAAACGCTTGGGGGAGGCGAGGGAATCTGGGGGGGGGTGCAGCAACCTTACCCAGTGTAGCTTCGGTAGATGTCTGGCAGGCGGAGGGAAACAACTCCGCCACCTGCCTTGCCTCCTCACCTCATGGCGGCAGCAGGCAGAAGGCGATCCAGTGGGAGCAGCCGGTAGAGGCTAAAAGCGCCTAGCCGGTATGAGAGGTGCAATGCCTGCCAGGGACTGAAGAGCAGCAGGTTCAGCCCTTAGCCCAATGCCTGTAGCACCAAGTAGGCATGCAGGCTGTCACTTAAGCAGCCCAAAGGTGGAGGCGTGGGTGGCGCGGTTTCACCGGCTGCTGCTGGCGAAGGGCCTGGCAGGCCAGTGGCGGGACAGCACTCCAGATCTAGGCCGACTTGCCCCGCGCCAGCCAAGAGCAGCCCAGCAGGGCAGCCCCGAGCAGAGTGGCCAGGAGGAGAAAGAACCCCGCGAGGCAGAAGTAGCATGGGCAGCCACTTGGCTACCACATGGAACCTAATGCGGCTGAGAAATATCTCAGCAACAGTAGGGCCAGCAGGCAGGGTGGGTGGAGGTTGGAGCTTGCCAAGGGTTTGTTTCATTGCAGCCGGAGAAAGCAGGGCCATTGGTAGCTGGTTCTACTGGCGGCTGCTGGTGAAGGGCCCTGGCAAGCTGGCCGTGGGGGGGGGGCGCTCCGGCTGTCGCACGGAAGATCTGGGCCGACTCGCCCACCCTGCACTAGGGCTTATATTAGGCCCCCAAATATCAGCTAGGGCTTGCTTTTGGAGTAGGGTTTACTTTTGGGGAAACATAGTAGAAGCATGTCATGAGAAAGGCAGGGCTAGATGAATCAAAAGTTGGAATTAAGATTGCCGGGAGAAATATCAACAACCTAAGATATGCAGATAATACCACTCTAATAGCAGAAAGTGAAGAGGAACTAAAGAGCCTCTTGATGTGGGTGAAGGAGAGTGCAAAAGTTGGCTTGAAACTCAACATTAAGAAAACCAAAATCATGGCTTCCGGCCTTCTCAATTCCTGGCAAATAGATGGGAAAGAAATGGAGGTAATGACAGATTTTATCTTCTTGGGTTCCAAGATCACCACAGATGGGGACTGCAGCCAAGAAATTAAAAGATGCTTGCTGCTGGGGAGGAAAGCTATGGCAAATCTAGACAGCATACTAAAAAGCAGAGACATCACCTTGCCAACAAAAGTACGTATAGTCAAGGCCATGGTTTTCCCAGTTGCAATGTATGGGTGTGAAAGTTGGACCATAAGAAAGGCTGAGTGCAAAAGAATTGAAGCCTTTGAACTATGGTGCTGGAGAAGACTCCTGCGAGTCCCCTGGACTGCAAGACGATCAAACTGGTCAGTCCTAGAGGAGATCAACCCTAACTGCTCTTTAGAAGGCCAGATCCTGAAGTTGAAACTCAAGTACTTTGGCCATCTAATGAGAAGGAAGGACTCAATGGAGAAGAGCCTAATGTTGGGAAAGATGAGGGCAATAGAAGAAGGGGACAACAGAGAATGAGGTGGCTGGATGGAGTCACTGAAGCAGTAGGCGTGAGCTTAAATGGACTCCAGAAGATGGTAGACAGGAAGGCCTGAAGGAATGTTGTCCATGGGGTCATGATGGGTCAGACACGACTTCGCAACTAACAGCAATAGTAGACGCTTCAGTTAGTTCAGAATGCATCATCCTGCATAGTTTTGTGCAAGTCTCGATGCTCACCTGTGTCATTTCTCCTTGGGGAACTACATTGGCTCCCAATTGACTTCAAGGTCACTTTTAAAGTCCTACATGGTTTGGGACTGGATTACTTGACGGGCCATCTTTTTCTAGTCACATCTACCTACCCCATTAGAATGGGGAGGCATGAAATGCCATGGGTTCCCTCTCCTAAGGCGTTTCATCTAGCAGGACCAGAAAGAAGGGCTTTCTCTGTGGTGGCTAGCTCCTTATGGAACATATCTGGGGAGCTAAGATTGGCCCCCACTTTAACAGACTTTTGCAAGTCCTTGAAAACCTGGTTTTGCTGAACGGTCTGGGAAAACCTGAGTGGGGTGGAGCCATCAAGTGGCTTATTTGACTAATTGTTTCCGGGGGGGGGGATGTTTGTTGCTTTTTATTGTTTTTATATTGGGTTCTTATCTTTGTAAGCTGTCCAGAGTTACTGAGGGCAAGTTGGGCAGCCATATAAATTTTCTTAAATAAACAAACTGCGGAGCCCTTAGTGCTCTCTGAATGTGGTTGTTTTCTTGCAGATGTTTCATTACCCAACTAGATAACATCAATTCTAGTGGGAGTAAAGTTTGCTCGCCATTTGTGTGGCTTGTCCTGTCTGTTAGTGGGAGTGTTCTTGGTAGTTCTTGGTAGTGATTAGGTTGATTGTTTAGGTTGTTTGATTGTTTGTCTGCTGTTGGTGTTTCCTTAATTGGGGTATTGTTTATTTGTTTGTTTGCCTAGTTTTTTAATTTTGGTATTAACCTCTGCTTATCTAGGTTATTAATTGCTAGTGAAGAGCTGGGCCTTTTTCCTTTGTGTTTAGTTTCTTGATTGTCTCCCTCTTGAATGCTATGTAGGTGTTTATCACTATGTGCCTGTTGATAACTGATTTGTCTGAATGCCAGGTTCCAGGATTTTTTTTGGGGTGTTTTTGAACTTTGCTTGATGTAGGATGCTTACAGTTTCCCAGTTCAAATTATGGCTATGTCTGCCCATGTATTGTGAAATTGAAGACTTTTCATAATGTCTTGTGACGGCAATTGGTGTTTATGGATGTGCTCTGCTAGTCCTCTGCCTGTTTGTCCTACATAGTGGCTGTTACAGTCACTGCTATACGTTGTAGACAACTCTTGTTTTTTGATTTATTTAAAATGTTTTGGAGAGTTTTAGCTGGTTGTATGGTGCTGTATGGTTGGAGTAGAGTTGTCAGTTTTTTCTGAGATGTTTTGATATTCAAAACTTGAAACACTGTTGAATAAATGGTAATTAATGACTGGTTCTCAAATTTCTGCCAGATGAAGCTTGCTACAGTCATGTGATTGTGAATTTAGCAACTAGCCCAGATTCCAAACCATTGCAGTGATCCACAGTCATGTTATTTCAATTTCTGACTCCCTGTCAACTTCCCACAGCAAAGTCAGTTTTTTTATGTATAGCAGTGTTATTGGATGGATGGATGGATTCAAAATACCTTTTGAAAACAAGTGTGCTTTCTTGTTCTGTTGTCTTTCTCTCTAGAACAGTAACCCTATACATGATGGCTCTTTGCTTGTCAACAATGATTTAACCTATTTTACTGCCTTTGCATTTCTTGTTTGTCTTTAGGTGTATCTTCTCCAATTATAAGTCACTACTAGTTCCTAATATTAGGAAGGGAAATTCCTATTGCATGATGTAGCCTTTCTTTTTATGTTCAGTAGAATTTCTTTGTTCAGTTTTTATGTTTTTTCTTGTTTGTTTTTTTTTTTTTTGTACTGGCAGGCGAAATCTTACAAAATTATCCCTCATCTTCAGTCATATGCTTGCAGAAATAAAAGCAATTTTCCCTAACGCTCAGTTCCAGGGTGATAATTTTCGTATCACAAAAGCAGATGCTGCAGAATTCTGGAAGAAGTTCTTTGGAGAAAAGTAAGTATCAGCTGTATCAACATAGAAGGTAGAGTTGCTAGTGGTTAAAGTATTAAATGCCTCTAATCCAGGGGTCCCCAACCCCCCCCCCCGGTCCATGGCCAGTTAGGAACTGGTCTGTGCCGCTGGAGGTGTGCTGAAGGGGCATCTTTCACCTCCAGGCATGTGGCGAGTTGCAGGGGTTTGGGCAGGGGCGGGAGAGTGGCAGGGCAGAAGTCTTGCTCAGTGCAAAGGTCCTGTGACGACTGCAATTCAACTGGCTTGCAACAGCTGAGCTCCGTGTCCTTCCTCCTCCTGCTTCTTCTGCTGTCTCTTCTTCTGCCTCCTTCTCCTCTTCCAGGTCCTGCTTCCTCTTCCTCCTACTTCTCCTTCTTCACTTTCCTCCTCTCCCCCTCCCGGCACACCAGCTGGGCTCACATTCCCTTTGTCATGCTTTCCAAGTTTGCAAGACAAGCACATGCCTGCCCAGCTTGCAACAGGGGGCTTCCCCAAAGCCCCCAAGGTATGTGTGTTTGTGTGAGGGTATCTTTTTCTTGAAGTGCAAATAGGGCAGGGAGAAGCTACCTTTAAGCACTGTGTCTCCAAGTCTCCAATCTTTCTCTTGTCTGCATCTTTTCTAAGACTGATGGGGTCCTTTGCACTTCAACTGGAATTTTTTGCTTTTGTTTTGATGCTTCAGGTGCCTCGTGTTTTGGTAATATCCTGGCAGCTTTTTGTGGTTTAATTTGTTGTGTGTATTTGTGTGTGTGTTCCCACTTTCTTCATGCACCTCTCCACATTCGCAAGCCAAGCATGCTCCTACCCGGCTTGAAAGGGGGGGAGGGAAGAAGCTATATTTCCCTTTAAGCTCTGCATCTCCAAGGGAATCCCTCTCTCATTTGCACCTTTTCCAATACTGCTGGGCTGGTGCAGTGCCAAGTTGCTTTGCGCCCTCCCCTCCCCCCTCTCATGGTTTTCTCAGCAGTTCCTCAACGTATTGGGTCTTTGTTTTGTTATGTTGGAAGGCTGAGTTTAGGATTGTGTCTTTTCCATCCCACTTTCTTAGAAGCAGAAAGTTACTGGTCTAATCTAATACAATGTAATAATAATAGAAATAAAGTGCATTATTTGTTTGTTTGTTTAGAAAATTTACAATAAATGCAATGCACTTGAATCATCCTGAAACCTCCCCCCCCCCCGTCCCCCCTCTCGATCCATGGAAAAATTATCTTCCATGAAACCGGTCCCTGATGCCAAAAAAGCTGGAGACCTCTGTTCTAATTCAATCAGCAGTCTATATTTCATTATACAATCTTTGGTATTCAATCTTATTTCAATTGTTTTATCTTTTTAGTATATTTTATCAAGTGATAGTTCTTCACAGAAACCTGTTCTGAAAATTATGACTTGTTGTATTTGTTTGAGAAATAAATTTAATTGACAGCTGCTGAACCAATATTCAGGGATTAAAGCAAATTTGTGTGATAGATAATAGACAGGAAAATAAGCTTTTAAATTATTACTAAATGTAGAAGATATCAAGATTTTATGAAGAACACATAATTGAATTGGTTGTTGTATATATTAAAGGTCTTTACATATCATGTGTAATTTACCTGACTATGATGCAAATGTTGAAGATATAATAACTTTGCCATAGGTAGTAAAATCACAGTTGTATGAATTAAGTGAAAAATTCACAAGTTATTGCCGTTAACAATAGAATCTTAAGTAATCACTGTAATGTGTCATCAGTGTTATACTAGTTTTATATTTATAAATAATATGGGTAACTTTGGGTTAGTCACTTTCTCTCAGCTCAACTCACGTTACATGTTGTTGTGGGAAAATAGGGAGAGAAAGCATATTAGGTATGTTTGCCTCCTTGAGTTATCTATAAAAATAATAAAGGTGGGGTAAAAAAAATGAAATAAATGAATAAATAAATATTTAGAAGCCAACACTTACTACGAAGATTTTCAGAAGGAAAAGCAGAAGGCAGTATTAATGATTATCAATTGACAGGAATCAAAACATGATTAAATAGCAAAAAAAAAAAACAGGGAAAAACAACAAAAGACTGGCTCAAAGCAACATAAAGTAAAATCAATAATAACAAAAGCAGAGTCATAAGATCAAAAATTAAAAGCAGCAGTTAATCAATACCAAATTGCAGCCATACTTTAATGAGATAATGAAGCAAACCTGCCTCTTTGGGATATTTTGAATGATAGTCAATGAGTTAACATAATGTTAAGCCTCAAACATGAGTACCAAGGTACAAGTAGTCTGCATCGTACAATCACATTTGGGACTAGAATTTGGGTTGTAAGTTGTGACAATTGTAAGACAATTAGATGACCAGACCTGAGTTTACATCTCTTGTTATGGTGGTCATTAAATGAGTTGCACAGTGGTAAGTCTAAATCACACAATGGTTAAGCAAATCACACAAAGCAAATCAGTGTGAATCCATTCTCCTAAATGGGTGGTTTTTTTGCCAGAAACTAGCAACCAGTTGTAAATATGACCCAATTGGCAAGCACTCAAAATGCAATCATGTGATCACAGAGAAGGGCAGCATAACATTTTACGAGGGCTGAAAGAGGTTTAAATAAGTAGGTTTAAAGGGCATTTAAAGAAAAGAGCAACAACTTTCTTTGATAAGGAAGATTTGGTCTTAAATTTCATACATTTGCCTAAGATGAGTGAAAAGGCAATGGCTTTGTAAATCTAGGCACATTTAGAAGAAAAATATGTAACTGCTTTAACAGGCATTCCAATCAGGAAACTGGAATAAAATTGTTTTGGTCTGTTGATAACTTCTGCCAGGAACTGGATATGAAGTATACATTTTTGCTAGCTTTGCTTGAACTTCCTAATGTCTTTTAGTAACATTGGCTGTGCTAGTCTCCTAAATAAATCTAGGGTTGGGCCCTGGGAGCACAGTTTTGCAGTAATTCCACTCCCTTCTATCAGTTGTTTCTGGAAACTAATGCTATACACTACTCTTGGAAACCTTGGCTATTTGCCCAGTTTCCATCTTCTCTACTATGTTGAAGAAGTATTTCTGTTTTTTTGGAACAAAGAACTACCCTCTTCTTAGTAGTCTCCAAATCTGCTGCTCCTTGCAATTTCACTTCCAAGTTGATTTCTTGATTCCAATATGTTCATTAATGCACTTGAGAAGAGTGAACAAAAGATAAAATTCAGGTAAAACAGAAATGTTGTTGGTAGATAAGTAAACAGATTAGCAAAATCTTACTGCATTCTTTGACAATGTGACAAAATTAGTGGACCAGTGAAATGCTGTGGATATAATTTACTTGGACTTCAGTAAGGCAACAACAATAACAACAAGCTGGCAGAAATGGCCAACACTTTAGAAAATAGGCTCAACACACAGAAGGACCTTAACAGACTTGAACACTGAGCCCTATCTAACAAAATGAAATTCAGTGGTGAGAAAAGTAAAATTATATATTTAAGCAAAAAAAACCAAATGCACAGGTATAAAATAGGTGATACCTGGCTCAATAGTGGTAACTGAGAAGGATCTTGGAGTCCTTCTGGACCATCACTTAAATATGAGGAAGCAGTAAATGCTGCAGCTGCCAAAAAAGCAACACAGTCCGAGGCTTCATTAACAGTCTTCATGAGGTGCATCTTGGAGTTTTTTGTGTTCCTTTCCACGTCACTTCTAGAGGATTATGGTCTGCCCATGTACCTATTTCTGTCTCAATTTCCTGTATATCCATCCTAATAGCTAATCCCAGACAACTCGTTGATTGGAAAAATTAACATGAAAAACCCCCATAAAATCTTTATTTAAAAAAAACAGAGGTATAGAATAAAGATCACATCAACTGTTAGTACTTTTTCTAAAGTTAGTACCACTTTGTAATGCCTTGGTAAGACCACACTTGGAATATTGCATCCAGTTTTCATCGCCATGATAAAAAAGATGTTGAGACTCTAGAAAGAGTGCAGAGAAGAGCAATAAAGATGATTAGGGGACTGAAGCTAAAACATGAAGAATGGCTGCAGGAATTGGTTATGTATAGTTTAATGAAAAAAAGGAGTTGGGGTGATATGATAACAGTGTTCCAATACCCAAGGGGCTGCTACAAACAAGAGGGGGCCAATCTATTTCCCAAAGCACCTGAAGGCAGGACAAGAAACAATGGATGGAAAATAATCAAGGAGAAAGCTGACCTAGAACTAAGGAGAAATTTCCTGTCAGAAGGCAGCAATAAAAGTTGCAAATGGCAATTACACAACTGCAGGGTCCTGCCATGTCATAATTGAGCCAGTTGCAAAGCACTCAGATCATAATATGATCATGGGGACGCTATGACACTATGATCATGGCCCTGACTATCAGAACCTATCAGAAGTCCTCCTCATTCAGTGCTGTTTTAACTTTGAATGGTTGTTGATCAAGTAGTTATTCAAAAGGGCTATTTCTAATTAAAAATGGTGTCTTATCTAACATACATTGTTTCCTTATTGTAGGACCATAGTGCCTTGGAAAGTATTCCGACAATGTCTTCATGAGGTGCATCAGATTAGTTCTGGTCTGGAAGCGATGGCTTTGAAGTCTACTATTGATCTAACATGCAATGACTATATTTCAGTTTTTGAATTTGATATCTTCACAAGATTATTTCAGGTAATTTAGTTAAACTGAAATAATACTTAACATGCTTTTCTATATTTGAAATAGCTGGATTTTGCAATTTTAGACAAAGGTGTGGAAGGATTTTATAGAATTTTTTTCTGTCCGCTTTTCCTGGTAGGAGGTGTTTTAATTCAAGGTACCATTTCTTTTTAGTAAACATGATATATTGTATGTTTTTCATAGCCCACATAATACAATTAACACTATATTACTAGTTCTGTGGTAGCATAAAACTTTAAAAGGTATACATACAAATTTTTAAAAATTACTATTCGGAATAATGAATTCACATGAAAACATGAACTGATTTAGCATAATTATCTTGGCTTAATAAATCATGATTTACTAAGTTACATATTAGACCCCATTTCCCTTCTCTTCATGTACTGCTTTCATTTCTTATTTTTAATTACTCTAAATTTTTATTCAAAATATGAAATTGGTTTAATCTAGGCATGATATAAATGTTAAGGGGTGAACGGCAGACTTATGAAAGCAGCAGATGATAGAAGCCCTGCTCCTTTTCACAAAACAGTCCAAAGGGCTTGCAATGTGATACTGCTTTCATCATTTTAATAAAAGCAGATATATTTGGATCTGAAATGGGGTTATTTCAGCCTTGGACTATTTCCATTAACTTGTGATACTATTCAGATTCTTAATTCTTTGCACACTTCTATTTTTTTTAATTTGAACATTACTTTAAAATGCCTTATTTTTCACTGTAACTAACTTCAACTGGCTGTTAACTTTGATGGGTAAGTAGCAATATTACAGAAAATGTTTTCTTTATTCTTAGAGGAAATTGAGGTGAAAATACAATATATTAAATATATACATATAAATATATATTTTATATATTTCACTTATGCTTAGCCCTGGGGTTCCATATTAAGAAACTGGAACTTCTTAGCTGTGACTCATCCTGGATATATGGCATTTCTGACTTATGATGAAGTTAAAGCACGGTTGCAGAAATATAACACCAAACCAGGAAGGTAATGAACTCAATACTTTTTGTCAATTTACTTCAGTAAATTATGGAAGGTTGCCACTAGTTAGTCATGTTTCTGGATGGCTGGGAAATTTCATAATGTAATGATGTTGGACTACAACCAGAAACTTTGCAGTAAGAGATTATTTGGTTCACGGGGATTGGGAGGAAGTAACTCAACATCAGAATAATTATTCTCATGAACAATATAATTTCTAGAAGCGGAGGAAAACTTGATCATATTTAGCTAGGGGTCTTGTGAAAACGACTAGAAAATGATTTGTGTTGTTATTTCCAAACACTGGTGATAGGAAAACTAGTAATATGGTGAGCCATAATCAAAACAAAAGCACTTAAAATGGTGGACATTATAGATAGGAACTGGGGAAATAACCATGTAATAGAACTATTTGACAGTAAAGAAACTGTTTTTGTCTTTATAATACACTGTTAGTCAAACAGTTAAGCTATAGCTGAATGCTGGGTCTGAGCACAACTAAGTTAAGAAATAGTTAGGTTTCCGTAAAGCTCAACATAAGATTTTATTCATCCACTTTTTTAACCACAGTGGAAATACTGGTAGATTACATAAATATTCTTCTTTTTAATTTATTTTTATCTTGTCTTTAATTATTTCATTAATTATAGCATTGTCCTTTGTTTTACAGCTACATTTTCAGATTAAGTTGCACTCGACTTGGGCAGTGGGCTATTGGTTATGTCACTGGTGATGGAAATATTTTACAGACCATACCCCACAATAAGCCTTTATTTCAAGCTCTAATTGATGGCAGCCGGGAAGGATTGTGAGTATAAATTATTACTTTATGTATAGAAGGCACAGTTTGCTAATACAACAGGTGCAAATTAAAGTATTCTTGATCTTATTTGATTATCATAATTGTGAAATCTAGTTTCCCTTAAAGTGTTCAACTAAGAATTTTTCTTGTGTCCCTAATTAGGGCAAACAGAGCTAGAATGATGGCAACTGTGAAGTGAAATCATCAGTGGAAAGTGAGATGCAGTTAGCAGAGGTTCTGTATGGAAGACATTAAGAATATAGATCTTTCAATGAAGAACAGGCATTTCTGGAAGGGAATTTTTAGCAGGACATACTCATAATAGATGGTCTTCTTTCAATACCACTCATTCAGCAATGGTTCAAACTTGTGACAGTGTTGAATAAATGGTAATTACAATAGGTCATCAGAATTCTGCCAAATGCAGCTCCCCAGTCATATGATCATGATCCAGGCATTTACCAATCAGCCAGATTTTCAATCATTGCAATAATCTGTAGTCATGTGATTGCAATTTATGACATCCTGCTGGCTTCCCACAAGCAAAGTTAATGGGCTGGCTGGCAGTAAGTCATGGCTATGTGAGATCCTTGCTTAAAAACCCAAGTAATCCTTACAGTAGCAACTGGGACTGCTGCAACTGCCATTACTAGGTTGTGTTACATGACATGAAGCTTTACAATCACATCACTTAGCAGTGGAAATTTTTGTCTCAATTACCATAGTTAACTGAACTATTTGTAATGGAAAAAGCAAAACTGTTCACTCATCATCTAGGTATTTAGTAAGTGTATAAATGAAGAGCCTATTTCCATTTCAGCTATCTTTATCCAGATGGACGAAGTTATAATCCTGATCTGACAGGACTATGTGAACCTATTCCACATGATCATATAAAAGTTACACAGGTATATTGTATGTTATTCACTTGGAATGTATGTTCATTCATATTCATTGAGGACTTTGTATTAGTATCTTTATAAAAATCATATTTAAATAGCTTAATATATATTGTGTCCCTTAATGATGAAAACTGATAGCAATCAGAATTGCTGTGGTGATGAAGGGTTTTGGGGGCAGCAGTTCAATGCATCTGAAGGACCATGAAAAGTCTGAGTAAGATTTTAAAATCCAGTTTTGACAAGACTTAACAATGCTAAGAAAAGATTTGTCAAGATACTTCAGATACATTTTAAGTATGTATCACTATAAGCATATTAGTTTAATGAATTTGTTACGCCTTTGGAAAAAATTAACCTAAAAACTAGTTTTCATTTTTAATTTTCAAAAAATTAACCATGACAAAGAGACATGTATATTTTTTATTGTTTTTATTATTTTGTTTAAGTTTTATCCCCTTCTATTTTTTCTATTGCTTATCAATTTTTTTTAAGTATAAGGATTGTTCTATTTAAGTTTTTTACAGTATTTTGGGATTTTTACCCATATTTTGTATTTTTCCCCTAACTTTAAATGTATTTATTTCAACAATGGCTAGGAGACAGCAACAAATCTTCATTTAAAATTCTAAAGTAAAAATTCTAAGAAAATATACTTTAAGCACTTAAAGTTTCGGCTGATGGTCGAGATTTTGTAATTACCACCAATATAATAATTTTACTACCAAAAAAGTTACTTATAAAATAAAACCAAATCCAATAAATATCAGAAAAATATTCCTTTCTAAACGTCTTGATATGTTAGCTTAAAGTTTCGGCTGATGGTCGAGATTTTGTAATTACCACCAATATAATAATTTTACTACCAAAAAAGTTACTTATAAAATAAAACCAAATCCAATAAATATCAGAAAAATATTCCTTTCTAAACGTCTTGATATGTTAGCTTAACATAAACCACAAAACATATTTGGGTTTTCTGAAACCTGAATGAATCTATTAGAACAAATTTTATTGGACTACTGTCCTTTTATTATTAACAGATGCAGTTGATGGTAGGCTTTGGGATGGGATTGGAAAGACAATAGTTGAATTGTTGCTATTTTTTTTCTCTTTGATTCTCTGCTTAAAATTCTGTCCCTATTGGTAATGTTCGAATAAAACCAAATTATACTTTATTTCTCTGATGAAGTAGATTCTCATGAAACAGATTTGAGTCAGAATAACTTATTTTAGTTAAGGTACTACAAGGCTGTGTGGGTGGTTTGTTATGATTATTTATGAGCAATGGAATTTTTGTATAAATAGATTTACATGTTTTTACATGTCTTGTTTGAAAAAGCAATGATACATATATTATATGAATATCTTCAGTAACAATTTGTCTTACTAGTATATGTTATGACGTAAAAGTTATAACCTGAATGGTAAGCCAAGTAGCTCTTATATTATCATTTTCAGAGGCTCTTCATTACAGTCATTCCTTTTCAGGAACAATATGAATTATATTGTGAAATGGGTTCCACATTCCAGCTTTGTAAAATTTGTGCTGAAAATGACAAAGATGTGAAGATTGAACCTTGTGGACATTTGATGTGTACGTCTTGCCTGACTGCCTGGCAGGTAACTGTCTTTCTGTAATCAAATTCCTATATGTTCTTTTTCTACTTCTCACTCTTTTTAACATTAATACATTAACTAATGTTTTAAGGATACCAATTGTAGGAATAAATCTTGAAATGTTAGTTTATTCATATGTAGGGAAGTAGCATAACTTCTTTCAAATACTGTAAGCATAGAACACTTTTATATTCTTTATCAGGAAAATGCAGTGTACCAGTAGATAGTTAGCAAGAAGATTTAAAAAAAAACTGTACAAACAAACCTGGGTATTGAATTTAACATTTCCAAGTTTTATGTAACATAATTCTATTGTCCTTTCTAGTAAATCTGTTTAAAGAATGCTCTGAATTACTTTTTGTTTGTAAGTAGCTCTTAAGGATTTGACACTTACAATAGCAAGGGAACATAACTGACCATGGAAAGAAAAATATTCTCAAATAAATGAGACAAATTTCAACCAAGAGTATAACTCTCCCACCTAAGATGAATATTCAGTTACTAAGAATATTTATCTGCAACATTGACTTGTAACTTCTGAAATCACTTAATAAGAAAAATTAATATAATATTAAGAGCTGCATAAATGATAAGAATCCTCTTTTTTTAAAAAAAATCTCTTCCCATTTATTCATTGATAGGGATGTTCGCTTGGGAGCAGTTGTGAAAACAATACAGAATAAGAAGCACAGTATCATAGAATTTTTCTGGGTCATAGCATCAGTGGGAATGTAGATTTTTAATAAAATAAAAACATTTAATATATGGTTAAGCTATAATTTTAGCAAGTGACATCCAAGTAAATGGAGTACTAGGTTTTCCTTCATTAACAGTCATTTCATTTAAAATAAATTTCACTGCACATTTAACTTCTGTATAATTTACAAGCTGATGAAGGGATTATACTGCAGCAATTCAGTTTCTACTTGCCAATGGTTAGTGTTTAATTGCTGTCATAATGGCTCGTTAAAGATGCCTAAGGAGAGAGATCTGGTGCTTTTTTATCATAATAAAGCATCTGTTTTACTTAATAAAATAAGTTACTCCCAGCTCCTTAGTGAACACAAAATCACATTTGCATAATATTTTATGCGGAAGGTCGATCAGTCCCTGTGCATGTTGGGTATCCTTTATTTTAAAAGCACTAAATAAAAATACAACTAAAATAAGGTATGATGATATGATTTTTTTTCTCTAAACAAGGGTTTCTTATTGAGTTCTATGTATATATTATTATAGCCACATTTTGTTTATTTTTGATATTTATATAATTTTGCATAGATCGATATCTTACCTTAAAGCATAAAGCAGAAGTCTTTGAATAAATTGGCACTTTTTCTATAGCAAACATTTTAAAATCTGACAAGTACCTGCCCAAAGCCCAAACTGAGTTATATAGGTTGGAGCGTGCATGTATTTTTTATTTTGACTTTAGATGATGTCGTAGTTCAGCTTAACAGAACACTTATAAAAGTATATAATTTATATATTTATATAATTGTATGAATGCCTAAGAAGAATTGACAATGGTGTAGTTGCTTCTTCTGATCTGAGATTTTAGAATTTGGCATAAGATTAGTCTTTAGTAATATAAAATGTTATACTTCTAAGCCCTAAACTTTTCACTATATAAGTTGGAACTCCACTGTTCTGAAAATCAAATATGAGTTCAAGGCAGTGGTGGGATTCAGCCAGTTCTTACCACTTCGGCAAAACCGGTAGCTAATTTTTTGTTGCCCAGGCCCAGAATAGATTTCCGGAAGCGACATCCACACAGAGAACCGGTTGTTCACATATTTGAATCCGACCACTGGTTCAGGGGTATATAAGCAATATTAGTTATAAAGCCACTGCAATGTGATGATTGGACTACAGAGATCCATATTTGCATACCCACACAGCCATAAAATTCTGTTGTAATTTTTGATTAGTTGCTACAATCTATTTCACAGGATTGTTGTAAAAATTAAAAGGGAAAATGCCTTTAAACTGCTTAATGAAATATTTTATATAAGTGCATTGAGTATAGATTTCTTAAAAGAATCTTGTATTGAATAAGTTACTGATCCATTATCATATTGCACTACTTTCTCACAATTAAAATGTGAGTCAACACCAACTGATGGTAATGAATTAGTCAATCATATAAAAACCAAACTACATTTAGGCAAGAAAAACCAAATGTACAGGTATAGTATAGGGGGTACCTTGCTCAATAGTAGTAACTGTGAGAGGGATCTCGGAGTCCTAGTAGACAATCACTTAAATATGAGCCAGCAGTGTGCTGCAGCTACCAAAAAAGCTAACACAGTGCTGGGCTGCATTAATAGAGGGATAGAATCAAGATCACATGAAGTATTAATACCACTTTACAATGCCTTGGTAAGGCCACACTTGGAATACTGCATCCAGTTTTGGTCACCATGATGTAAAAAAGATGCTGAGACTCTAGAAAGAGTACAGAGAAGAGCAACAAAGATGATTAGAGGACAGGAGGCTAAAACATATAAGGAATGGTTGCTGGAATTGGGTATGTCTAGTTTAACGAAGAGAAGGACGAGGGGGGGGCATGATAGCAGTGTTCCGATATCTCAGGGGCTGCCACAAAGAAGAGGGAGTCAAGCTATTCTCCAAGGCGCCTGAAGGCAGGACGAGAAGCAATGGATGGAAACTGATCAAGGAGAGAAGCAACTTAGAACTAAGGAGAAACTTCTTGACAGTTAGAACAATTAACCAATGGAACAACCTGCCTCCAGAAGCGGTGAATGTTCCAACACTGGAAGTTTTTAAGAAGAGATTGGACAGCCATTTATCCGAAATGGTATAGGGTTCCTGCCTGAGCAGAGAGTTGGACTCGATGACCTCCAAGGTCCCTTCCAACTTTTTTATTATTATTATTATTATTATTATTATTATTATTATTATTATTACTACTACTACTACTACTACTATTATTATTATTATTGTATTAAGATTGATTTTAAAAAAGCCTGAATGCATCTTATTTATATAAAAACAAAGAATGTGATAATCTGCCAACTGCCATTGATTTTCCCAACATGGTATGTAATCAAAAATTCCTGGTGCTGCTACTCATTTGAAATTTCTCTCCCTCTCTCCTAGTATTTGCAAATACTTGTGTTTTTTAAAATACTATTAATATGCTTTTCATTACCTTAAGATTCTTCTATGTAGTAAAAAATGCTAAATAGTTCTCAGCATTTAAGCATTTTTTTTTTATAATTCAGGAATCTGATGGTCAAGGATGTCCTTTTTGCCGTTGTGAAATCAAAGGAACTGAACCCATAATTGTAGATCCCTTTGATCCCAGAGATGAAAATACAAGATGCTGCAGTATTTTAGATAGCTTTGGTATTCCTATGCTTGATTTAGATGATGATGATGACAGAGAAGAGTCTTTGATGATGAATCGATTAGCTTCTGTGCGAAAGGTATTTCTTTTTTTCCTGAAAGATGCAATGACTTTGTAATTTGCAATTGTAATTTACACATTGATTAAAGAATTTGCAATGGTTACAAGTTTGAAAACTGGTCATAAGTCACTTTTTCAGTGCCATTGTAACTTTGAACACTATTTAAATGAACTGTTGTAAATCGAAGACTACCTGTAAAAATGTTGTTGTTAATTCCGAAGTCGTATCTGACCCATCGCGACCCCATGGACAACGTTCCTCCAGGCCTTCCTGTCCTACCTGTAAAAATATGAACTAAGAAAACAAATTACATCGTTGTATATTCCCTAGTTGTAAACTGATGCATTCTTTCTTTTATTTCTTGGAGAGTATTGGAAAATAAGAATCCTTTTGTATTATTATAAGGAACTATTTAGCTCAGCAGCTTATTTCTAATTGTAACAATCCAAGTGCTTTTATAAGAAAGGTATGGATACATTAGCATTTCCTATGTTTTCTATCTAAAACCAGACGTCAGAGACAGATTCATTCTGATATTCCAATAATTATAATAGCTAACCACAGTTGAAGGTTAACTTCTACAATAGAACAGTGAGTAGTGTTGGTGCAGATGTTGCTGAACTACAGTTGCTAGTATTTATGATATTGTAGTTTGTTGGCATCTACTGAGTCAGGTTCCCTGCCACCCTATTTTATCACCACTTCAGGTATATATGTTATTTATAGCTAAATATATTTTCATAACTGATTATGCATGTACTGGTAATATATTTCATATTTTAATATATTTCAACCCATTTTGAATGTTCTGAGGATTAAACAAAAAATTCTAAGAGATCTCTATAAAGCTTAGATAAAAAGCAGGTATTTCATACTTAGAACAAACTTTTGAATGGGTATATTGAAGCTGTGTTTATGCTTGTAATAATGTTGCCTTAACCTAAATAGGATAATTTAGGGATAGAGTTCTAGTACTTTTCCCACCTAATTTGTAAATGGAATCCAATAAATGAAGGTTAAAAGAAGGAAGCAAATATAAACAAAATTATCAACAACAAACATAATGGTTTGGCTTGAATTTCTTGACTAGATGGCAATCATGCTGGCTGCTGGCTGTTATCCAGCTTGCATAAAGTTGGCCATTGGTATAATTTTATGTCTCTATGTGTGTGTTACATACACATGTGCGGACATACATATAGGCACCAATATATCTTCAGGAAACAAATTAGTAAACTGAGAACAGAGATTGAAATTATGTGTCGATTATATGTTTACATTTACTCATCTAAAGGATTCTTTAGAATTGATCTTACACAGTACAGTTCAATATCAAGGTATCATATTAAAGAATTAAAATGGCATTACTGTTATAAAAATGAAATAACTAGCAATTTAAGATCTGTTTTTTACCTCCTGATTTGGAAAAACATAATAGCAAATACTGTAGAAAGCAAAAACATCTTGTTTCAGAAAATATCCAACTATAAAAATGAATAACACTTAGTTCTGTTAAGGCTTAGTTTTCTATTTTGAAGCACTCAAAAAAAAAAAAAAAACCCTAAAGGTAGAGTACTAAATTACTGACAGAGAGAAATAACTAGCTTTAAATGGTCCAACAAAAGATTGAGGACAGCCTTCCATCATTTGGAGGTTAGTAAAATGAGGACCCAGATTGTTGGGAGCAATATGCTGACTCTGTAAACTGCATAGAGAGGGCTGTAAAGCACTATGAAGCCGTGCATAAGTCTAAGTGCTATTGCTATTAAAGTTAAGCTATTACAATCAATCAAATCTTTATTATGGCCATGGACCAGTATAAATGATATTACAAGATTTCAAAGAGTGAAGTAGTCAAGCAGTATGAAACTTTAAGTTATATAAAGCTAGTTGTCTGACTTAGATAATAGACTGGATTATATTGACTTTTGCTGGATTGCCTCGGTTGAGGGAGCAGGACTTTCACTTGTTTTACAAGTTACAGTCAAATCTTTGGCTTGATGCAAAAAAACGTTTTAGGAGAGATCGTTCATTAGTAAGCAGCACATTAAAAGTACAGAGTAAACATAGAAAAAGAATAAGCAGATTTATCATCTCTTGCTTTGTTATTAAACACGTTCATAAGGATGAAAATGCAAATAGATTATTTATTAAAAGCCAACAAAATAGCAAACATTAACTGGAAAAAGTGGAATAAAAGGCTCTCAAAAGTGGGCAATTTCTCCTCTGTTCTTTTCCATGAAGGAAGTCATTTAGTGAATGAGAATGTGGGTTCTAATCCTAATACCAAATTTATTATTTGTCTATGAAGCTCTCAGCCTAATCTGACAGAACTATAGCTACTCCTCATTTAGCAGCTACCTGTTTAAGCAATTTCATAAATACAGTGGTAATAATAAATTTAAAAACAAAAAATCATTTTTGCATCAATGCACACATTTTCTACCAAATTTTGTTGGCATGACAACAAAAGTTTTCAATGTGAAATTGAATAAGATCTGGCAGCAATGGATGGATCAACTATTTAAGGTCACAGAGATGAGCTTGTTAACTTGCCATTAGCACTTTTTAGGGAAGGGCTGCACTGTGGAAAAAAGCACAGGTCAGGAATAAATAGCTTTTTTATGCAAAACAGGTCTGGCATAGGATACTGTATGAGAGAACTTATCTGAATGAGAGAGCAGCAACCAGTGATTTTTGTGACGTGTATCTCTTTCGGTCAGCTGTTTATTTAATGACCATTTCTGTTCTGATTTAAAGAACAGATTATGGTTGCTAAATGAGCAGAGGGGGTGATTTATGAATAAAATTGTGAGGCTAAAGAAGAGCTGAGTTTTGCTAATGCTCCTTGAAAAAGTGGGATATAATATTAATAATATAAATAATAAAATACAAAGACCTGCAAATAGAAATATAACTACTATAGCAAAACAAAGCAAATGTAGTACCAATAGTTATAGGTTCCTTGGGTGCAGTCCCAAAACAACTAGAGCACCACTTGAACACTATTGGCATTGACAAATTCACCACCAGTCAATTGAAAAAGCAGCTTTACTCAAAACAATTTGCATCCTGTGATGATACCTTTAACTCCACATCTGTCTGTCCTAGGTCCTTGGGAAAAACTTGATTGTTATAGTTGATAGGTGCTTAGTAAGAACTTGCTAATTGGTGCTTTCCCTGAATGATGAATATTACATACTTCATAACACCTTGTGTTGCAGTGTAATGAAAGACAGAATTCCCCAGTGACATCTCCAGGATCATCTCCTCTTGCTCAAAGAAGGAAACCATTTCCTGATCCCGTACAAGGATCCCATCTTACCCTTCCACCAGTCCCTCCTCGATTGGACCTAATACAGAAAGGAGTTTCCCGATCCCCTTGTGCCAGCCCGACAAACTCACCAAAGGTAAAAATACAATTTAGTGATAGAACTTAGGAGTTTAACATTATTTTTCTTAGAAGCATAGTGAAGACCTCTTCAATTGCTGTCCTCAGGGTTTTTCTGCTTTTATTCAAATCTACCGAACTCAATTAACTTGTGATCATTTCAGCACCTAACCTTTTGCTTCTCTTTTCACTAAGTCAATATTTTGTGTATTTGGAAAACCAAACAATAATTATAACAAGTAAAACATATAAACTGGTGTGTGTGTGTGTATGTGTTTGTGTGTGTGTGTGTGTGTTCACTGTTGAATTCTGAGTTCTCCTTCCTATGTTAATACTTTGATACTTTCTGTGCTATTTTATGATTGTTACATATCACACCATCCTGTGTTCTTTTCAAAAGTTACCTTGTAAAGTTAATTATTTTACATATATATATTACACACTTATTTTCACAGATACTAGAACAAATAAAATTATGTGGGAGACTGAGCCTATTATCTACAATTAGTTGAAAGAAAATTCTGTAGACTACTTCTGATTATAGTAAAGATAGTATTTTATAAGAAGGGAAAAAATTATTTCATAAATATACTAAAGAATATCCAACTTTGGATTATAGGTGGAACACTAAACAGAGTTTTAACCAAATGTTGGATGAATAGTAAAAGAAAAATACGTTATTGAGAGTATGTGCTTCCCATATGTATGTAAACATCTTAGCTGTGTATTGTATTAGTATTTTATTTTTCTGATTTGATGATTTTTTAACTTGTCAGCTATGGTTCAATATTGATTTATTGAAGTTTGCATATAGTTCATTGATATCATTTTAATTAATTTTATTATTTTAACTGACACTGAAGGATTAGGTTTCTGGTCTTTATTTATAACATGGGTTTGCTTTTATATTTGGCTGTGTTTGTATTGATTCATTCAGGTAATTTACAATATTTATTTTTAATTTCACACTGATCATTTTAGCCAGTGATGTATGAATTAAGATGACTATACAAAATATTGTATTTGTAACTAAGTATAGATTATATTTGTAATGAAGCATTTTATTTTGTTATGTCTCAGTCTTCTCCAGGCATGATGAGGAAACAAGACAAGCCTCTTCCAGCACCACCACCACCAATACGAGATCCACCTCCACCTCCACCAGAAAGGCCTCCACCCATTCCTCCAGAAAATAGGTTAAGTAGACATTTGCAGCATCCTGAAAGTGTATCTGCCAGAGAACAACCAATGCCACTTGAAGCCTGGTGCCCCAGAGAAGTGTGTGGGAATAATCAAATTGTGGGATGTCGTATAGTAGGAAATGATAATTGTCCCAAACCTGGACTTACTGCAAGCTCAAATATGAATGGAAGACATTGTCGCATGGGTTCTGATCCATTATTTCTGCGAAAGCACAGATTCTCTGAATTACCTTTAGAAAATACCAAGGTAAGAGCCAGATTGTACGATGCATGAACTTTAGTTTTAGTTAGGAGTATTGAACTTGAAGTCTGATACTGTTGAGAAGTGTGTGGGAATAATCAGATAATAGGAAGCCATTTTATAGGAAATGATAATTGGACTTACTGCAAATTTATATATCAATAGAAAATATTATTGCATGTATTATGATCGAAAATTTCTGCAAATTTATGTCATGAATTACCATAAGGTACATGATACAATATATGAAGTTTAATGAACATGAATGCTGTAAATAATAGTACAGTATAAGGGTAATTGTATTATATCATTTAGTGGCCTATTTTATTATAATTTATTTGAAAATTATATAGTAAAATAACTAAAAACAAATATCAGATGTTTTTAAGGAATATATTATTAAAGTGTGTGAGGGAACCTTAGCTGAATTATTTAGGTAACAAAATACAAAACGGAATAACAGTTGGAAGGGACCTTGGAAGTTTTTTAGTCCAACCTCCTGCACAAGCAGGAGACACTATACCATTCTGGACAAATGACTGTCCAGTCTCTTCTTAAAAACCTCCAGTGATGGAGCACTCACAGCTTCTAAAGGCAAGCTGTTCCACTGGTTAATTGTTCTCACTTTCAGGAAATTTCTCCTTAGTTCTAGGCTGGTGGTCTCCTTGATATCCATTATATCTGTTACATATTCTGTTCTATTACAAAGTGTGTGAGGAAACCTTAGCTGAATTATTTATAGTGCTGAACACATGACATTTATATTGATGACAAGCAATTCATAGACCTACAGAATGAAACGTGAAATTAAAGATGAGAATGGGTTCAAAATCTTGTAAATGAACATTTTACTTGTATATAGTTTGCAAATAACCATTCTAAAAAATCTGTCTCTTGCAGATATTTTCAAATGGACATTTAGGTAATGAAGAATATGATATTCCACCTCGCATTTCACCTCCCCCACCCTTTGTTTCAGCCATGGCAAATATGAAGTAAGTTCAATTTTAACAACATTGATTATATCATTATGAGGAAAATGCATTTTTTTTATATTTTTATGAATTAGAATTATGTACTGAGTAGAAAATGTTCACGAATTTGGGAGTTTTCAGATCTTCATTTATCTGGAAGCCATCAGTGTGGTGTACAGGTGAATTAAAAATATACTTAAAAGTATTTTAGAAGAGCATTAAAAGAAGGCTGTAAATAAATATTCAAAGTTACCATATCATAGTTCCTTCAGATTCTGTTAATAAGCATCTCATAATTATAATCACAAGAATATTGATCTTTACTGAAGTCTTTAAAAAACACAGAATTTGGGATACATTCAAAACTCTGAAAAATGAGACTTAATAAGGCAATAATATTTTTGTGTCAAATAGGGATTCAGAAACTTCAGAAGAATTTTCTAAAATTAATCAGTCATCTTTTTGTTCATCTCTGTTTATTGAAACGATAGGCTCTTTGCCAAGAGAAATAAAGTTCTGTTTTAGCTATCATTAGGTTGATCTATAGTTTAATTTTTAAACAATGATAAAATGGGAAATATTAGATTTAGTGAAAGACTCTCTCTGGAACTTTTCCTAAATCCTGGCAAATGCTAGAATGATCATGCTAGGAGACTATAAGTTCTGTTTCTGCTTTGTCATGAAGCCTCCTGGGTGACCTTGAGCCACGCCCCCTCTCCCAGCCATAAGGAGGAGACAGTGGCAAAACAGTTCCAAAATCTTGTCAAGGGAGCTGTAAAGAGTTTTCCAGGCACTCAGCAGGCATTAAAACTGACTTGAAAGCACATATTCACACGAATAATGCTTCATTAATTATAGAAGTCATTGATACTGCATGAAAGAATTTTGTTGGAAGTGGTTCAAAAGCAGTTTTTAAAAAAGATTTAGCAGTTGCAGTGGCCAGGTTTGAGGAAAAGGGGTTAGGATGGACCCCAACCTACCATCATAAAAATGAAAAAGACAGTAAAAAAGTTAGTTTTCCTAAAAATTCAAACTAATAATTCAGAATTTGAAATTAGCCTCTCTAAGGAAGATAGTTCAGTCACCATCATTCCTTCCTTCTAGTCCCCCACACGTTAGACAAATATCTGGGAGAATAAATATAGAATTATGTATAGTGCTGATAAAAGGACATAATAAGATATTTTCTTTTGTCTTTTTTTCCTTTATGAGACTCTGTTTCATAAATGCTCTTTTTTACCTCTAGATGTATTCCCCTCCCCCACATCTTTCAATTCTTATGAATCTGGTGATATGTATCTCTCATACCACCTTTTTAACAGATTGCCATCAACTCTGTTTATTCTAGGCTGAAAGTATAAAGGCAAAATTGTTCTTTCTAGTAAAAAAAACAGTAAATATTAAATGGCAGACGCAAGACCGTCTTAGTGGATCTTGAGGAAATTGTTTATTTTTATTAAAGCTGGTATTTTACAGAAATCTCATGATATGCACAGCAGTTTATAAAACATGAAACCATTAAGTCTTTTGTTAAAAAAACCCTATGTGGCAAAACATCAGACCTGTGTTTGATTTATTTATTTATGAAAAATTGTATACCTGCCCAACTCACTGTCAGTAACTCTGTGTAGTTTAAAAACCCAATGTAAAAATAACGAGCAGTAACCCCCCACCATGACAACTAATAATCAGTCAAAAGCCACTTTAGGCTCTATCCCAATCTGGAGTCCCCAGCCCCATTGCCAAAGCATGTCTTCAGGGCCTTTTGAAAGTTGTAGTGGGGCCCAGTCTTATCTCCACAGGATGATACTCCACTGGAGGAAACTCCTGTTGAGAACTCCTGTCTTTTTGATCCTGCTAGATGAACCTCCTTAGGAGAAGGGGCCCGTAGCATTCCCTACCCCCTCTACTCAGTGGGTCAGGTAAATGTAACTGGGAAAAGACGTTCCTTTAAATGACCTGGCCCCAGGCCATGTAGGGTTTTAAAGGTGATAACCAGCACCTTCAATTGGACCTGGAAGCTAATCAGTAGTCAATGCAGTTGCCACAGGAGAGATGACGTGTAATATCTAGGCCTGCACAAAGCCATGCAGACTGCCATATTTTGAACCAATTGAAACTTCTGGATACATTTCAAGAGCAGTCCCATATCATTATTTATTTATAAATAATAAATTATTGTTTATAAATTAATCTATAAATAATATGAAATTATTTATTTGTTCCTTCAGTCAGCATTTATTCATTCATTATATACTGCACATCTCATACAATTCCAAGTGATTTAGAATAACAAGTTTTAAAATATAGAAATGAATAAAGCCAAACTAAAATTACAAAACAAAAAAAATAACTAATAACATTTATTGTAAATTAAGAACATATACTGTATATACTATTAAAAACATATTGTTAAAAAAGGTCAGTAGACATTCATCTCAAGGTCAATTAAGTTATATAATCAAAAATAGTATCTCATATGTTTATAGTATCTTTTGCTCACAAAGTTATGCTGAAGCAGGCACTCCAACATCAGTTTTGATTCTGCCAATATACAAGCTTATAATAGTAACTGTAACTTGCCAGGGCTTATCATTATTCATCAGATGGATCATAAGATGATATGTCAGGTGCTCACAATAAAGTATGTCATAGAAGCGCTATACTTGACAACTGAATTCGAGATCAATGGTGTCATTTGGTATGGTTCTTATAATTGAAAAGGACCCTATAAATGTTGTTTCTGAAATGGTCAATACTAGATGTCAAATTAATAGTTTCAGTTCAAGTATAATCTTGAATCACATATATCTTCATTAACAGAATCGAATTCAGTTTCTGTAGTTTTATATAGGATTCCTGCTGGCAAATGAAACATTCATTTGGGATACTGATTAAAAAAACACACACGTCTGTTTTGTCTTGTTTCAGAGACTACAGAAAGTAGTAAATCCTTGCATTTCATCTTTATAAGCCTTGTATTTCACTGAATGTTACATGCTTTTTATTAAAGGTATTAATTTAAAAAGCCACCATCCTTTTGGTTGTATTTTGTATAGCTTGAACTGCTTTAAAACACTTAGTTTCTGTAGTACAAAATGCATAATAGTGAACATGGTCATTTCAAACGCTGTTTTGGAAGGGAAAATGTTCCCTTTCTCATGATTCTCCCTCTAAACTAGAGCTTCAGACCAGTTATCTCTTTTACTTCCTCACATCACATTGGGTCTTTTTTCCCCATTGTTTCGATTTTTAATTGTCCTAAGGCTAACCAAAATGGACATTAACAAGCCATAACTTTGTCCTTAACACTTGAGGTATAGTATAATGAGAATCTTTTGAAGATTATAATACTAGCCAAATGTCTTAAATGCCTGCTTTTAAAACATCCGTACATAATTAATGACAGTGTCTAAAATTATCTTTAGAGATTGAGCTCTTAGAGTTGGGAAACACTATTGTCTTTGGAGCTTATGGAAATAGATTCATAGTATCTTATATTTTGATATATATTTTAGTGATAATTTGCATTATAAATTATCATTATATTATTTCAATGTAACAATTTTTTTCTGACATTCAGTACAGTGTTTCAAATTTTATTCAAAGAAAATACAACTATGATTCCTTAATTTTATATTCAGTTCTTCAAGTTTTTTTTTAAATAACATAGTCTGGCTTAAACTTCTTAAGTTTTGCTTTGTGTCTCTCTCTGTTGAGACATCTGAGTTTGTTTTGCAAAGAAAGCTGCAGTTAATCAAAGCTGAAAATTTTTAAGTGTCTCTTGGCTTGTGGAAAAAGAGAGAAAAGAGCAAAGTGCACAACCTCCATAAGGAAATGGAATACATTTGTATCTTATTAAATGCACATACCTATTCTATTTTTGGCTTTGTTGTGGCAATAAAATAGAAAAATATAATTAAATCCATTTGTAAATGCAGTGATTGATACATTTATTTTCTGTACCAACAAAAACTCATCTGGGTCTGGTGTACTTTTCTCTTGAGGTCTTCTGTTGCTGTTATAAATTCCTTTTCTGAAAAATCAAGAGAACATGTAGAAGATGAGTACAAGATTCCGTCATCCCATCCTGTTTCTTTGCCTTCACAATCACTTCATTGTCATAATATGAAGTCTCATACTCGGTAAGATGATTTGAAGATGATGGTAGAGAAACATTTGACGTGACATTTAATTTAGTTTTATATTTGATTGATGTTAACCATAATGTTACTTTTAAGATTACGTCTTTACACAGAATTTAAAATATTTTGGTATCAAGTTTCAGCACCTCTCTGTTAAATTTCTAGGCATTATTCTTACGGTTTTTTTTTTTTTCCATACAAAGAATAGACTTCTTGCTGATATACTTCCTCAGAATAGAATTCCTGATTTCACAGCTTTTAATACCTATGCTTAAATATCTTAATAGAATATCACCTTTTTAAAATATACACATGCATGCACACAAAAAATAAACACATGATTGGGTCTGGGCAATAATTAATAACTTCTTGAGGGTGGAGGTGATTCTGTCAGCTCTTAAGGAGGCATTAGTGCACTCTGTCCTGAAGGAGTCATCTGATGACCGAAGCAGTCTGGCTTTTTTCCAGTCTCCAATCTTCCTTTTTTACGAAAGCTTGTAAAGAAGGTGGTTGTGTGGCAGCCGCAGAGAACCCTGGATGAAGCAGATTATCTGGACCCTTTTCAATCAGAGTTCAGACTGAGTACAAGACTGAGACAGCATTGACTGTGCTCTTAGATGACCTCTGGCAGGAATGAGATGGGAATAGTGCGACCATCCTCATTCTTCTTGACCTCTTAGTGGCCTTTGATACCATTGATCATGGTTCTTTCTGGACCACCTTTGGGAATTGGGGGTGAGCAGCATTGTGTTGCTCTGATTCTCTTTTTTTTTCCAGGGTCCATTCTAGTTTGTGTTCATGGAGATAGAGTTCCAAGCCAAGGCCCCTAATGTCATGGTTCTGACAGACAGAGACGAATAAAGCAGAACTCGAGGCTTGCAAATTCCTCAAAGAACTTGTTTATTAGTTACAAAATATCAGCACGGTCAAAAGTGAAACCAAATCTGGATACACAAGCAACAATTCCCCAATACAAAATTAAATGTCCCACTCACAAAAGCTATGTAAGCAATTACGTTCTCCAATATGATTATTTGGTGGGCTTTTTATGAAACGCCCAGTCTTTATCCTCGGGAGCAGCTGATGACCTTGGTTCCCACAGGACAAAAGATTATTTTGACTAGCGAAGCACCTGGGCAACCCCCCTCCCTCCGTTCAGTGTGGCAACCTAGAATGAGAAGGAAAAATGGCTGTAGCCATGCTCATTTGTAGAGTTGACACCTACTTTGTGAGGTACCCCAGGACTCAGTTCTCTCTCCAGTCCTATTTAACATCCACATGAGGCCACTGGGTGAGGTGACCCAACAGTCTGGGGTATGGTATCATCAATATGCTGATGGTACTTAGCTTTGTATCTCCATGATGCCGTGGATCTCCTATGTCAGTGCCTGGAAGCTACAAGAGTTTGGATGGGATGCATTGGTTTTCAACTCAACCTAAACAAAACAGAGTGTCTTTCGATATTTGGGACTTGTGGTGATGAGGTTTTGCCACCACTAGTTCTGGATACTGCCCTAAATGGACCGGTTCACAATCAGGGGGGGACCTCTTGGAGTCAGTGTTCCTGCTGGAAGATCAAGTGGCAGTGGTGGCTAGAAGGGCCTTTGCACACCTTAGCATAGTATGCCAGTTTATTGATTTATAGATTAAATTTTTTATGCTGTACATCTCCCCTATAAGGTGACTGGTTGTATCTATTTCTGGATAGGGAGGCTTTGCTGACAGTCACTCATGCCTTTTGATCTCTTTTTTGAGCTACTGTAACACTTTCTACATGGGACTGCCCTTAAAAAGCACTCAGAAGCTTCAACTGTTGCAGAATGTAGCTATACGCATAGTAAAACATGTCAGGTATTTGATACATGTAACACCACTGCTTTGCGAGTTACTAGTATTCCAATGTGGTTTTGGGTGCAGTTCAAGGAGCTGGTTATTGCTTGAAAAGCCTTTTATCATTTGCAATCAGGTTACTAAGGGATGGTCTTCTCCCAGTTTTTTCTACTTGTCCAGTTTTGTCAGGTGGATTGGGCTTGCTACAGATCCCATCAACCAAGGAGTGTTGGCTGGTGGAAATCAGGAAATAAACCCTTCTCTGCTGTAGTTCCTGCCCTTTAGAATATCTCCCGTCAGATATGAGGATGATCCTGACCCTGTTGCCCTTTTGCAAGGCCATGAAGACTTGGTTTTGTGCCCAGGCCTGGGCTTTCAGTGTGTTAAGGGCCCTGTTTCCAGGCTGTATTAATATACATTTTACCTGATCCCATATATTTTGTACTGTTTTAATTGTTTTCAGAGTCACTTGTTGAGATGGGTGATTATAGAAATTAAATACATTCCCCCCCCCTCTCTCTCTCTCAGAATTCATGTATGTATTTTGCTTTATAGAAATATGAAACAAATTATAATTCTCACTTATTTCATCAAACTTTATTTGGTTTGAGTTCTGATCTGCTTTATTGGATTCATGTGCACTTGGTGCTAGAAAATGATGTTGTCTTTTATTAAAATTAAGATATGTGATAGTCATTAAAAATGGGGGCAGAGGGAAAGAGTTAATGTTATCTGAAGTTAAATTTTCTTATTCTAGTTTAAATGTCCTCATTTTGCATTTTATTTTTGCATCTAATTCCATGTAACTTCTATGTGATTAAAACTCCAGGTTTTATTTTGCTTTCAGTGTATTTGAGAATGGTCAGTGCTCTGGAATAAGTAATGAAATGCAAAATACTTCATCTGAGATGAAAAAATTGAAACAACCTGATATAGGTATGAGTAGTGCATGTTTAGAGGGGAAAAATTAACATGCTGTTTTTGAAAGTTTAAAAATTAAGGTATCTTAAATGTTTGGTATTTAGGAGAAGCCTTTGAGTCTACTATCCCAATACCTTTGCCACCTGTGCGACCTTCATTGAGGGAAAATTTGAAACATGCATCTCAACTCAATAGAACGTCCTCTGATTATGACTTGCTTGTGCATCCTCCAGGTTATTCTCTTTTTCTTTTTCTTTCCAATTCAGCAAGCTCCTTACAATAAATCTTTCAAAGAAAGCTATACGTAGACTAAATCTAAGATCCTATACCAAGTATTGACTAAATGAAGCCTCATTGATTTTTATGAGTGTACATATAGTCCTCAACTTACAATAGTTCATTTAGTGACCGTTCAAAGTTACAATGGCACTGAAAAAGTGACTGATGACCAGTTTTCACACTTATGATCGTAGTAGCATTCCCATGGTCATGTTATCAAAATTAAGATACTTGGCAATTCACTCATATTTATGATGGTTGTAGTGTCCCAGTATCACGTGATTCCCCTTTTGACCTTCTGACAAGCAAAGTCAATGGGGAAGCCAGATTCACTTAACAACAGTTTGACTAATTCAACAACTAAAGTGATTCACTTAACAACTGTGGCAAGAAAGATCATAAAATGGGACAAACTTAACAAGTGTTTCACTTAGTAACAGAAAGTTTGGGCTCAATTGTGTCATAATGCAAGGACTACTTGTATTCTGCAGTCAGTTCAAAATAATACATTTTTCTACAAATAATATATTTGATGCATTAATATTTAGTAATATTAGATTAAGATTTGTCCAGTTTTATGTATTTGTCTTCCACACATAAATTTAGCTAGATGTGGACATTTTATTCAAAATCAAAATTAATTCCATCTCAAATGATCATAACTATTACAGCATAATTTATAATGCTATAGAAAAATACTGTGTTCAGTTTTAATTTATATTCCTAAGTTGGGAGAGGGGAACATTTAACTGTTCCAGAAAAACTAGATTAACAGTTTCATAAGACATGTTTTCTCAAATTACCTGAATTTGACCAGCTGTTATTCGTCAAGCAGGTCACAAATTCTTTTTAATTTTAGTGTTTTCATTTTGGAGAAAAAGACTAGAGTATTATGTAATATGTTTCAGTGATTTATTTGTAGCAACCTAAAACGGGTGAGCAACTTCTCTAGCAGAAACTTTATTTTTAGTTTGTGAAATGGCTTCAAAGACCTGTACTAATGTTGGAATGTCACCAGAATGTAGGCTATATCTTGGGTCAGTTATAGAAGCTTTATAACCCTGACTCAAGGAAAAGCTTTATAGCTTTATAACCCTGACTCAAGGAAAACAAGCATTAATATAGTATTGACTGAAGATCCCCACGGTGATGTATTGATTGATTTGGACCAAGGAAATGAAGAAATATGGCTCTCTATTAGCAGAAATGTTGAGTCTGGACAGAAATTCAAAGGGCCCACTTATCATAGAAGTTACATTTTATAAGGAAAATTCTGAGCTAAAAGTATTTGAAAATTCCCCCTCCCTCCCCTCTTTATTCTGACTTTTTAGCTAAAGATATTTTACTTCTACAGTATTAATCAGAATAGCCTTGGAGTTTAACTGAAGATTGATTCAATAGAAATTTGTTGCCTCCAAATTCATTTATCTACTAACCAAGTCTAGACTGGAATCCTGAAGTGTTGATCTCAAATATCTGAACTGAGGTAGCATTGATTATCTTTCTTCCAAAAAATATTTTTGTGGTAACCCATGTAACAACTACAGCTTATAATCAAAATTCCAGACTCAATTGTAATACTAAGTCAAGACTGACCTGCATTAAAGTCACTTTATTGCTAGATAAACTTTTGGAAAATTATCTGATAAGGGGTTTATATAATTTCTCTGTCAATACAGGTGAAAATTTGTCTGACAATCCACCACCTTCCCTTCCTCCACCTCCACCACCTCCTGCACGCCATAGCTTCATTGAGCAAACAAGACCACTTGTTGCAGGAAATAGACCCCTGTCTGGACATGAACTATACCACCCATCCACCGGTAAGAGATGGTGATGGTGATAGTTATTTTATTTTACTGTAGAGATTTAATTATAAAAAATGTTCTCAATTATTTAACTACTTGTCAGCATAGATCTAACCTTGCATTTGGAGCTTTATACTATAAAATTGAAGTTATGAAGTTATGTAGAAAAATAAGCAAGTTAATTTCCTATATTTCCAAAATATATACTATTAATGGTATAGTGATCTGCAAATTAAGTAGTAGTTTTTTGTTTGGAGTTTTGACATCTGGGAAAAAATGGCAGATTAAAGACAACTCTGCAAAAATCAGAGCTGACATTCACAGAGGAATGAAGAGCTGGTCAGACAAGGAGAAGAATTGAGATCATCCACAAGTGCTCCAAACAGCTGCTCCTTGTGAGGAGACCACAAGACAACTGTCTCCAGTGGGTTTAGCAGTCTGGAAGATGTGGGAATAGCCATCTTCCTCAAACTGTGGTTGGCGCCTTTGAAAGGATGCTAAGTTTACATACGTTCTTTTCTAATCACATTCAGAAATTGCTTGTTAACTACTTTACAGCTATTAGGAACTTTTAGATCTGGAGGATTTATAGTATCAGGTGAGTTTCCTTCAATTCTTAGCAAAGGAAATTTTAAATAAAAGTCTAAGGACTTTTTAAAAATATGGGGAATAAACAACAAAAAGGTGATAAAATTTGATTTTAAGAAAGCTACAAATGGACCAAGGCCTCAGATAAATTTTAAATAATATTTTAGAATTAATTATAAGATATCCTTCTTGTGGGAAAATGTTTTTATTTTGAATTCTTTTAAAAAAACATTGTAAAGTATGATTTAAAAATTGGATACTAGAGGGAACCCAAAATATAATTAAATTAGAACAATACTCAAATTCAACTTAAAATTACAGAATGAAGCATATTTTTTTAGTATTGGGCATATTGAAGGAAATTTTTAAACAATGAACTCAGATATTAATTTTAATAGTATTTGCTTCTATTGATGAACTATGTTTAAAAGATTGAACCAGGAGCTAGTTTTACCTGATAGGATTGAGACTGATTTGAACATTCTGATTCAACAGACTAAAAGAATAGCATGGAAAAAAATGTTACAGTGGATATACTGTACAAAAGAATCCGGCTGATCGTTTAATTAATTGAAAGGGATATACAAATAAAAAAGCAACAGAGTGATCTGAATAATTTTCTTATATTGGATTTACAAAAGAAGCTTGTTATATTTTTGAAGAATTCTTTTGAGAAAGGACAAAGAAAAAAAAATAAATAAATTCTGTGACATATTTGTTGGGTCTAAAATCAAGATTCTTAAAAGAAAAAGGAAGAAATATAAAATTGACTTCTTTGGTCAAGGTTAAAATAGAACTGTTGTTACCTCTGGCAACCCTCAGTAGACTGTTGCTGACATTAGGACTGAAATAACTAGGCTTTATGGATTTGTCCAGTCATCCTGATTCTACCCCAAAGTAAGGGATTACAGGGTCATAAAAAGGGAGGCGGTTTTTTATAAGAGAAGAGATCATTTATTTTAAGAGGAGATCTTAATTACTAAATTGTTTATACTTGTGATAAAGGAGAAATCACTTCTTTGTTTCTTTCCTTTTTCCTTATTGTATTATTTTTTATTTCTCTTTCTTTTTTATTTGTTCATATTTCTTCCTTTTCTGCAACTTTTGTTTTCTCTTGTTATTTTTAGTTTGTGTTTTTACTGCTATAATTGTAAACTTTACTGAAATTAGTATAAAAATTAATTAGAATATAGTTTTTGTTTATTGAATAGCCTAGCATGAACATTTTTATATTGAAGTCAGAAAAAAAGAATGAGAAATATTTAAATATTTAAAATATCCAATATTTAATATGTTGGATAGTTACAGCTGAATCTTGTGCCAGAATGTTTTATTCAGGGTTATGAAACATTCCTTTAATGGAGTATGTAAACTTATTTCTAAATCAGGCTTTAATTGTATGGCGAAATACTGAGATAACATTTGGAGACAACCACTACTCGTTGATTTTCATAATGTGGGCGAATTGTTTATTTGATTTGAAGGAATTTTAATTTAGCAAAAGCAGCATCAAGAACAGATTAGAAAAAAGTGCCTTTATAAAAAATAGTTATCTTTATAAAAATTCATACAGTTCTTAAAAATTTTCTAAAATACTTTCATGGATGTGAGAGACAGGAACCAAAATTCAAGAAGGGGAAGATCCATAGCTACTACTCGGCTTTCCCTCTGCTGTAGATTTTTACTGAAGCTAGCTAAAGTAACTGTTAGAGCTGATGGCTCTGCATTACTGACAGAACTGCCTTTCTTCCTTTCTCTACCTCTGGCAGTTTATAAAATGGTAATATTAGCAAGTTTAATTTTGTGTAATTTATACATACTATAAATTGCACTGTCATTTTAATTTTTTAATGCTCTGTTTCTCTCACTGGATATTAAATCGGAATATAGCTGGAAGGGACCTTGGAGGTCTTCTAATCCAACTCCTTGCTCGAGTAGGAGACCCTCTACCATTTCAAACAGGTGGCTGTCTAGTCTCTTCTTAAAAAAGAGCTGCTTCCAGGTTACTGGGCCTTCCAAGAACCTGAGTCAGAATCCACACCTTTCTCAACCAGAGATGCTTAGTATGACAGCTATAATGGGCCATAACATTTGAGGCTGGGTCTGACTGACACAAAATACCATGCAATCACTATTTCCTGAAACTTGGAAACTAAATGACTATCAATGACTCTTGATCATGAACCCGAAAAAATCACACTAGCCTTTTTTACAGCTATGACATGAGGCTGGCTTATATTCTTAGGATCATATCCTGGATTGTAGATGGAGGACACAGTCCTGTCATCAATATTGAGGGAAAGGCCCTGTGCAGACTTGGAATTAAAGGGTAGGTCACCATCTGCTCAGGTAGCAAAACATTTGGAGCCAACTGCTGTTAGAGACTTGGCAGAAGGCAAGCATTCCTCTTAAATTGCCTTCACTGGGAATGCTTGCTTATCTAACTTTCTGCTTATTGCTAATGCTTGCTTATCTAATTTTTTATATGAGGCTTTAAAAAGTCTTTAGGGGTAGTCCTCAGAGGCTTTTAAAGATTCTCAAATGACAAAGGGACATGAGAAGAAAATTAAAAACATGATTAGAAAGTAATCATAGAAACTATTTGATATTAACTAAATGCAAAACTAAATGAAGCAAAATCAAATTTAGCCACTCCCCTGATTCTAGTAATTATTTTAGGGAATGAAGTTCCCAGCATGCCATTGAAAACGGAAGTGCAGCACTTGGTCTGGCAGTGTTCTAAACCCCTACTTTACAAAATCATTCATTTTCATATTATTTCCTTTTGAAATAGCTATTAATTGAGTGATTGAAAGGTTCCAATCATTATTGTAAAAAGTTAATAGCGTTTAATATTTTTTTTTATCTTTTAAATATAACTCTTCTTTGGTAAAGGAGAGTATGTAGAACATATCTGTGTTTACTGATGTTTTGCCAATAACCTTTGGTTTGAAACATCCTTTGTGAAAGGTATCTTCATCTAGGGTAGTCTTTTCTTCCTACTGAGGGGAAGATATGCCACACATTCTCTAATTCTTTTCAGAAAGCTCTGAGAAGCTTTGTTGCATGGGTGGATCTACTGTGGATCTACGTTAAAGTTTATAAAATGCTGTTGGAGCAAAGCAGTAGCAGACAATGGGGAACAATAGCTGCAAACCAGTGGATAGAAAGATTTCAGGACAACTAAATCTTTAAGATTTCTAGAGGAGGGCTTTTCAACCTTTTCACAGATTGTACCACTTTTAGGACATGATAATATTCGAGTACCACCAGTGCTTAGCAAAAGAACCTGATGACTGAAAAAAGGGGTGGGATTTTGGGTTTTACTGATTAGATTCATTTGTTGTTATAGAAATGGCTAGTTTATACTATTATGAGAAAGTAAAAAGTTGAGATTCAATGTTAAGGCTTCATTCTACTGCAACAAAGGAAGTGGAAAGTCAATTCCTTTTCTTTTTCCCCTCTCCCCCTCACTTTTTTCCCCTTCTTCCTCCCTACTGTTTTCTACTATTTGCTTTTGTATTTTTATATTTTATTCCATAATCTAATCAAATGTTACAAACCATTAAAAAAGTAAAAAAGTACCGGTTTTAATTTCTTTGGTGGTGGTTCCTTTGCTCTCAGGCCACGGGAGGACCCCCGGTAGTGCAGGCTGCCCAGAGTCCTGGGCGATGGAGGGCAAGCACCCAGCTCAGCCCAGACTTCCCCAAGGTGGTGCCCGGCTGCCCTTACTTTCTCCTTGAGGCTGCTTCTATTTGGCTTGCTCTCCTTGGCCAGATTGCTCATGGTGTGTGCGGGAGGGCAAAATGTGTAGGTCAGAGGGAGGCCACTCCCTTTCCATGCAAGGAGACCCAGCTTTGTAACCAAAGCATCCTCACCGATAGGAGAGTCAGGAGATGGGGACAAAGGGAAGGCAAAAGGGCAGCAGTGCTGGTCATGGCCAAGTGCTAAGGCAGGACTTCCTTCAGACCCTCCTTCCCTTTCATTATAAACTTCCTTCCTTCCCCCCTTTTCTTCTTTTTCCTTTCCTCTTCATTCTCCTTTCCTTTTTGTTCCTTCCCCTCTTTCCTTCTTTTTCATTCCTTGCTCTCTTCCCCTCTTTCCTTCTTTTTCTTTGTCTTTCCTCTTTCCCTTTCTCCTTTCCTGTCCCTTCTTGGATGCTCAAATGCAAAAGAGGAAACATTTCTCGATGCCTCCTTGCCTTGTGATCAAATGCAACTTTTGCTGGTAGTTTATGGTCACTTAAAATATTGAGAACAAACCAAGCTCAGTTTATCCTGTGCTTGCCTTTAGTGGGGCTAAAGACAACAGTACAGCAAAATTGTCAAAATGGTGGCTGTGTTAGTTGATGAGAGGTCTTCTGTTTTTTATGTGCAACAGCTTTAGCGTTTAGGAACAGAGGTAGATTAGTTGCTTTTCTATTAATACGTTATCCTTAAAAGGATTCTTTTGTAGGAACCCTGCCTTAGTCTAATTCAAACTGGAAATATAGCAAAGGAAAATATTTTTATCCATTCTGGTTTGTCCTGTTTTCCTCACTGGAAATGGCTGTTAGCAACATACAAGGAGGGGATACTTTGCTAAGAGCTCACAATTCAAGAATACCAATGTTAACTTGGATTGCCAACAAAATTCTGTCTGTGACAAAACAGAACACAAAATTGCTTTCTCTTTTTGAACTGGGGCATTTCCAACCAAGTTGCCTCTCCTTCCTTCCTTCCTTCCTTCCTTCCTTCCTTCCTTCCTTCCTTCCTTCCCTCCCTCCCTCCCTCCCCTGCCTTTTTTTTAAGCTGCAAGGCTCTGGGCAGAGGTGGCAACAGGCAGTGGTTAGCAGAGACTTCCCATTTTGACCCCTTCCCCTGTTGTTGCCTCTGCGTGGCTCTCAGCTCACCACTCCCAGACCCATGCATGTGTTTGTGTGCACGCATGGAGGTTATGTCTCATCCCTTGCAGCCCCACGCCCTCAACAGAGACCTTCTGTGATGGAAGGCTGTAAACTAATGAAAGCTGGTTTTTTGGAGTATTTGTTTCTTTTTCTCAACACGCCGCGGATCGCATCATGCCCTGTTGCCCTCAGCTCCCACCCCTAGCAGGTGGAAGGCTGCAAGAAGCTCCCATTGCAGTTTCTCTTATGTCTCCTGCTCTTTTCCTCCCCAATGTCACAGCATGGGGCTGCAATGAGTGAGACCCCCCCCACACGCACACACAAACAAGTATATGCACGGGTCTGGGAGAGGTGAGCTGAGAGCCACGCAGAGGCTCTTCAGGCACAGAGGCAATGACGGGGGAGCTTAAAAAAATAAACTTGCAAAGCGCTCAGAGCGCAGTCCCCAGGGATGCCAAACCCTGCGCGCTCGCCACCACCTCTGCACACACCCAGGGGGTGGGGTGGAGGTGGGGCTGAGGTGGCAAGGGACCTGCCGCTGGTTCCAGGGCTGCCCCGTGGATCTAAGGCTGAGCACCTTCTGGCTTTGATAGTAGCTACAAGATTGTAAATCAGCACTTGGTCGGCCTGGGCTTTCCTCTTTTCTTTCTGCGCGGTCAGCAGGGACAGTCAGCAGGGATGCCGGGCACTTGCCACCTCCTGTGCGCATGCCCAGGGGGCAGGGTGCTGATAGCCCTCGCTGGACCTTTACCGCCAAAATCTCTTTTTATATCCTTTCCTCTCTCCCCCCCTCTTTTTCCGTGCCCTTCTAGCTACATGCTACTTTCAGAAGCGCCAATCAACTGGAGCCCGGTGCTGAGCTCTGACAGCTCTGCAGAAGCGCCGATCAGCTTATAGCCACCCACGTAGATCCTGGGGCCTCTGTCATGCTCCGACAGCCCTGCAGCTCCAGCTGTCTCTCTCTCAGGCTTGTGCAGCACTGTCGCTGCTTCAGCTCATTCCTCTCCCCCCCCATTACCACTTCTCTAGGACGGTCATGTACCACCTGCCAGGTACCAAAGTACCACCAGTTGAAAAGCCCTGTTCTAGAGTGCATATTCTTAATATATTATCTGTGGCTGTTTCATCAACGAGTGCGACAGAAACAACAACAGAGCAATTAACTACGGGGGTGGGGCGGGAGCCGAATAGACTGGTAACACGCTCATTAGCCATATATATACATGTATGTATGTATGTATGTATGTATGTATGTATATGTATATATATGTGTGTGTGTGTGTGTACACACACACACACACACACACATATATAGTGTGGCAAAAAGTATTTAGTCAGCCACCAATTGTGCAAGTTCTCCCACTTAAAAAGATGAGAGAGGCCTGTAATTGTCATCATAGGTAGACCTCAACTATGAGAGACAAAATGAGAAAACAAATCCAGACAATCACATTGTCTGATTTGGAAAGAATTTATTTGCAAATTATGGTGGAAAATAAGTATTTGGTCAATATCAAAAGTTCATCTCAATATTTTGTTATATATCCTTTGTTGGCAATGACAGAGGTCAAACGCTTTCTGTAAGTCTTCACAAGGTTGGCACACACTGTTGCTGGTATGTTGGCCCATTCCTCCATGCAGATCTCCTCTAGAGCAGTGATGTTTTGGGGCTGTCGCTGGGCAACACGGACTTTCAACTCCCTCCAAAGGTTTTCTATGGGGTTGAGATCTGGAGACTGGCTAGGCCACTCCAGGACCTTGAAATGCTTCTTACGAAGCCACTTGTTCGTTGCCCGGATGGTGTGTTTGGAATCATTGTCGTGCTGAAAGACCCAGCCACGTTTCATCTTCAATGCCTTTGCTGATGGAAGGAGGTTTGCACTCAAAATCTCACGATACATGGCCCCATTCATTCTTTCCTGTACACGGATCAGTCGTCTTGGTCCCTTTGCAGAGAAACAGCCCCAAAGCATGATGTTGCCACCCCCATGCTTCACAGTAGGTATGGTGTTCTTTGGATGCAACTCAGCATTCTCTCTCCTCCAAACACGATGAGTTGTGTTTCTACCAAACAGTTCTACTTTGATTTCATCTGATCATAGGACATTCTTCCAATCCTCTTCTGGATCATCCAAATGCTCTCTAGCAAACTTCAGATGGGCCTGGACATGTACTGACTTAAGCAGGGAGACACGTCTAGCACTGCAGGATCTGAGTCCCTGGCGGTGTAGTGTGTTACTGATGGTTGCCTTTGTTACGTTGGTCCCAGCTCTCTGCAAGTCATTCACTAGGTTCCCCCCGTGTGGTTCTGGGATTTTTGCTCACTGTTCTTTTGATCATGTTGACCCCACGGGATGAGATCTTGTGTGGTGCCCCAAATTGAGGGAGATTATCAGTGGTCTTGTATGTCTTCCATTTTCTAATTATTGCTCCCACAGTTGATTTCTTCACACCAAGCTGCTTGCCTATTGCAGATTCAGTCTTCCCAGCCTGGTGCAGGTCTACAATTTTGTTTCTGGTGTCCTTCGACAGCTCTTTGGTCTTCACCATAGTGGAGTTTGGAGTGTGACTGTTTGAGGTTGTGGACAGGTGTCTTTTATACTGATAACAAGTTCAAACAGGTGCCATTAATACAGGTAATGAGTGGAGGACAGAGGAACCTCTTAAAGAAGAAGTTACAGGTCTGTGAGAGCCAGAAATCTTGCTTGTTTGTAGGTGACCAAATACTTATTTTCCACCATAATTTGCAAATAAATTCTTTCCAAATCAGACAATGTGATTGTCTGGATTTGTTTTCTCATTTTGTCTCTCATAGTTGAGGTCTACCTATGATGACAATTACAGGCCTCTCTCATCTTTTTAAGTGGGAGAACTTTGCACAAATACTTTTTTGCCCCACTGTATGTATGTATAAACTTTATATATAAAGTTTTCTGTGAATTCTTTATGGCATATCTCAATAGTTGATTAAAATTAACCACAATTTCTCAGATTAGCAAAGTAAACCATTAAAAAGAGGGTGAAGTCCACATTAGAAAAGAATCCTTTGCAACTCAATTAAATTAAAATTTAACATATTACATCATTCGTCTCTTGTGTATTTTTTAACTTTTGAATTACTTTTTTTATCAATTTATGTCCTATGAACCGTAATACACAAAATGATCTTTATTTTTCCTTTCACAGATCTTTTTTTTGATCCTACAAATGACTCAGTTCCTTTACCACCTGTTAGAAGATTAACTGGTGAAAATATAAAGGCCCACAGAACATCCCAGGATTATGACCAACTGCCATCTTCTTCAGGTAATTAAAACCCAGTATACAGGAATAAAATTATAGAACTGTTTATATTTTCCATAATTTTTCAAAAGAATTTGTCACTTTAATCTTTCAGATTAAATCTTGCAGAAAGTATATTAAAATTGAAAATGGAGAATATGTGATTTAGAATATCAACCTCCCCATCTTTTCTAGAGCTTCATTTAATCTGTTTTCAAAGCAGTGAAATAGAGCTTTTCCATATCACTTCCAAAGAGCTTTACTATTGTCCCTGGGTTTGAGCATCAGGGTTATGTGCTGTCGTTTTCATTCCTAGCTTTTATTCTGTGTTTCTCTTTCTGTGTGTAAACTGCTGGGAGTCAGTCTTGGTTACAATAGTGTATAATAAAAGTGCTATGTGGTATTAGAATCGATATGTTCATTACTATCATAAAAAGAGAAGAAAACATCACAGTCACTACCAGAAAAAATCCATAATTACATCTGTTGAAATATTATGCAAACTCAAGATGCATTGTTAATGTTTCTATAGTGCTTCTCTTACGGTCAGATACTGGACGTTTACAATCAAAAGGATTAAATAACAATAATACAGCAATACAGTAATAAAAACAAAGTAAAGTATTAAGCAAAAGCAAAACTATCCATCAAACATTCATAGAAGGAAATCCTGGCACAAGGTACCTAAAAGATGTAACAGTAGGTACCTCATGAATTTCAGGTGGCCAAGCATTCCATGGTACAGGCATCATTACAGAAAAGGCTTATCTGCGAGTAACCGCAAGATGACAATCAGTCAGTCTCAGCACACGCAGCAGAACCTCCTCTGATGATCTTATCAATCAATCAGGTCTGTAACAGCATAATTGATCTATTAGGTATCCTAGTGCCACATTATTTAGGACCTTATGTGTAAAAAGCAGAATCTTCAATCTGGCATAATACTGAATTAGAAATGAGTTAATTACTTCAGCAGAAGCATAATATGTGCATGATCATGAGCCACACTTAGCAACCTACTGTGCCACATTTTGTGTGCGTTTCTCTTTCTAGATCAAGCACCCTTGTTGCATATATTACAGTAATCTAAATATGACATTTCCTTTTCCTGAACAAATACAACTAAACTTTCCCGTCCATGTAAAGATATAAGTAGTAGACTTACCAAAACTAGAAATATGTCACTTAGGTTCCAATGGTAATAATGTCTTTAGGAGCAACATTTTTAGAGCAATCAGATTTCTGAAATTCTCATGTGGAACCACCCATTCTATGTTATCAAGATACAGGCTCTATTTACTGGCTTTTATCTACTCCATGTCCTGGTTTGGAATATGCCTCTCCTAATTCAGCGGTTACAAAAATTTTTGTCATCAACATTCTGGTCATTATTAACCCTCAAACGCCAGATAACCTCTCCCAGCATTTTTTTTTTTTTATGGATATTGGGTATCACTGAGGAAAAAATAATGTCTTGAGGTACACCACAGTATTGTTGCCAGGATAGAGAGATAGTCACTCAACTCTGTGCAAGTAGGAGTGGATTCACTGTAATACAGCATCTTCAACTCACAGAGACAAATACTATGGTTGACAGTATTAAACTACGTGGACATCAAACATCAGTAGAATTGCATTATATTTATCTCTGTCCTACAGAAGAATATCTGATTTTCTAATTTGCAAACCCAGGCCTAAACCCAGGAAAGAGTTAAAATCATGTCATTTGAAAATATCTGCATCTAGCCAGTTGCTACATTATTAAGCATGTTGCCCTCACAAAGACTGGACAATATATTTTTATTGGATGTTTTAAATTGTATTCTTGATGACTTGATAGTTGGACTTGATGACTTAAAATACACCTTACAACTTTGATTCGGTGATCTATGTTTCTAGTAACAAAGAGGTACTTGTAATTGGGTCGTAGTGGGTTTAACCTTAGGGCCCAAGGAGAACTTTTCAATAATAGATTACTGTCTCCTTTAAGATTTGTTGTGGAAAGGTACAGTTATTATTGGCTTGCAGTCCTCAAGTATAAGGCTATGTAAGTAAAGTGGCTTGTCTGCCATCTGAGCATTCCTGTATATTTAAACCATTAGACTGAACACTTGAGTAAAATATGTCAAAAGCAGCATTCCAGCAATTTTATTATTGATATAATCTGCAAATTATTACAATGGTCTTTGAGATTCCGGTATACTTTTCTGAGGGAAGTGATAATAAAGTTTGACCATTCTAAACTTTGCTGACAAGCTGCTTCAAAATACAGAATTGAGTGAATTAGGGAATATCTAATAAATCCCACATCTTGTCTTAATGCTCAGATATCCTGACCTATCTCATTGCCCAGAGTTCCCTAAGCAATGAAATACTGAAAAAAAGAAGGAAAGCTAAACAAAGCTGAATTTATGCTGCTAAAATTTAAATTTCTAAAAATTCCAGGAAAATATATGAACAGAGATATTCTGTACATGGATGTCTGTTGAACCAATCTCAAGTTCAGGAGACGCAATCTTAATTTAGTTTTTCTGCTCAAACTGGAGTCCATTAGAGGCACTACTTGGACCAAGTCATATCCTCCAATATCATTTTGTATGTGTTTTTGTTGTTATGTCTATTGCCAATAAACAAAATTGAATTACACTACCGTATTAGATTGAGTGACACTATTAGATAGCTGTAGGCAGAAAGTCTTTAAGCTGTGGTAACTGTTTTTTTAAAATCACACAACAGGTTGGAACACAACAACACACAACAAATCTGCACATTGGTTGGAACAGTAGATACTTCTTATGTACCTATACTTCCTAAATATATGAATTTAAATTTAACTTCAGCATGTCTTGCTTTGTAATAAACTCTGCGTCAGGAGTTTGAGGTTCTAATTTAATAGTAGGGGTGAAAAAATATTTTCAAACTCTTATTATAATATATTGCTTTGGTGTGCATAGTAATGCAATTAGTAGTAATACAGATCTTTTCCAAAATTCAATTTCATCAATTTTATGTAATATGTTCCCATATGCATTTTGCGCAAATTAAATCATCCAGATATCTTTTTAATAGCTATGCATAAGTTAAATGTATTATTTATTCCAATAGAAGAGAATATATGTAGCTCAGGGTTGAACTGTGTAGTGTCTTTGGCAAATAACTAAGCTCAGAAAGCACCAAGGGCCCCTCATTGTTTACTAATTCTATCCATAATTTGGCATGTATTACATAAAATTCCTATCTATTAATTGTGGGACTTTTGATAGTAAGTGAATTAATGTTGTTAGTGGAAGATTCTCACTGCTGACAATTTCAAATAGATTTAAAAAAATAAAAAGCATATTCATATATTAAGATATCTATTTGAAATACATGTTTCTAAATATCCATCTTCTTAGTCACATTGCAAGTAATATAATGCAGAAATGTTTGTATCAATAATTTACATTGAAGCCAAATTGTAGAAATTTGTGTACTAGCTGAAAATATTTTTAAAATATGTTTAGATTCTTAGATTATGTTCATGGAGAATTTATTCATGTTTTTTCACCCAAGTCAAATAAAATATTGTGAACAATACGTATCTTCTTGAATAAAAATAAAGCATGTATTATATTTATTTCAGCCCATTTTATGATCAAAACTGGTATAACCATTTGATGGAATAGTTTTTTTAAAATCACTTTCATAGGAATTATTATTACTGCGAGCACAGCTGAAAATAACTAAATAATCCAGCTCTTATGTATGATTAAGATATCATGTAACAGCGTAAATAATAACACTAATTGTATGATGAAGATTGTATAGAGCAAAGAACCCCAGAGCTGTGAGTGTGACATTAGCATTTTAAAAAAAATACTCTTGGAAGGAGGAAGAAAGCTGATAAAAATCCTTACTGTCTTTCATTGTAATTAATATATTGGAATGCGTTGAATCAAAAACCTTAAGAATGGAAGGTTATTTGGTATGTAATTACAGGTAGTACTCGATTTATAATAGTTCATTTAGTGACTGTGCAACAGCACTGAAAAAAATGACTTATGTCTGTTTTTAACATTTACGACCATTTTAGCATCACCATGATCACTTGATCAAAATTCAGACACTTGGCAACTGATTTTTTTTTTTATTGAAAATTTTTATAAATTTTTACAAAAAAACAAAAGAATAACAATACAACAAAAACATAGACAAAAAACTAAACAAAACAAAACAACCCTTTCCCTACCCCCCCAAAACCCCCACTCCCTCCCCCCCCCGGAGCTTCCCAGAGCAGAATATAGGCTTAATTAAAAAAATAAAAAAGTTATATGAAAAAAGAAAATATAACTAAGATACATATATGTATATAAAAATAGAAGTTATGAAAAAGCTAAATAATATTTTTTATATCCAATTTAAATTGTATAAACTTTATCCATTGCGATTGTTCTTTTAAAAAAGCCAAAATCTTTGCCATTTCCGCCAAATAAGACACTTTAAGAAACCATTCCTGCAAAGTAGGCAAAGATTCTTTTTTCCAATATTGTCCTACTAACAGCCTTGCGGCTGTGATCAAGTTTAACATCAATATAACCTCCTTTGTGTCACAATCAGTAACTATACCTAACAAAAATAATTGTGGAGTAAATTTTACCCTCCTTCTAAAAATTCTTTGAATATTCCACCATATCTTAATCCAAAAGGCTTTTATATTTCTACACGACCACCAAATGTGATAGTAGGTGGCATCCAAACAACCACATCTCCAACATTTAGGCTGTAGGTCAGGGTACATAAAAGACATTTTTTGTGGGTCAAGGTGCCATCTATAAAACATTTTATAAAAATTCTCCCTTAAATTCTGTGCTTGTGTAAATTTAACATTTCTCACCCAAATGGTTTCCCAGGTATATAATTTCAAATTCGGTACCTTGAGTCCACCTCTCTCACGGAAGTCTTGCATGATTTTAAACTTAACCCTTGGCTTTTTCCCTGCCCAAATGAATTTATTGATTCCTTTCTGCCATTCACTTAAATTAATCTCATTTTTCAAAATCGGTAACATTTGAAACAAAAAAAGAAACTTGGGTAGAATATTCATTTTTATCACTGCAATTCTTCCCATGAGAGATAATTGCAACTTCTCCCAATTCCTCAAGTCTTTCTGTACACTGACCCACAACCTTTCATAATTATTTTTAAACAATTTTGCATTAGAAACAGATAACATCACCCCCAGATATTTTACCTTGTTGACAATTTCAAAACCTGTCAAGTTAGCCAAAATCTGCTTCTCCCGAATAGTCATATTTTTAGGTAGGATTTTAGTCTTATTAACATTAATCTTAAAACCCGAAACCAAACCATAATGATAAATCAACTGCAATAACTTTACTACAGAATAATTAGGTTGCGACAAAGTAACCACCAAGTCGTCCGCAAAAGCTCTTAACTTATATTCTTTTTTGTTAACTTCTATACCTTTTATTTCCTGAGACTCTCGAATTTTAATCAACAATATTTCCAGTGTTAAAACAAACAACAACGGTGATAATGGACATCCCTGCCTAGTACCTTTCTCTATTGTAAAAACTTGGCAACTGATTGATATTTATGATGATGGTTGCAATGTCTTGGAGTCATGTGATCAGCTTTTGCAACATTTTACGAGCAAAATCAGTGGAGAAGCCGGATTCACTTAACAAATGTGCAAGAAAGGTCATGAATGGGGCAAAACTCAGTTAACAAATATCTCACTTAGCAATAGAAATTTTGGGCTCAATTGTCATAAATTGAGAACTACCTCTATTTTTGAGATAATTTATTTGCATTTGTATTTATTAAATTATGCTTTAAAATGCTTTCCCTGATTTTCATAAATTCCAATAATACTTTATAGTAATATTTGCAATTGCACATCATAGAGGTAAACATTGCTATAATAGAGGAATCATAAATGTGAACAAAAAAGCACAGAATCCCATTCATAGAAAATATTCAAGGAAATCAGTTAAAGTTAAGATGAAGTAGTTTTAATTATCTCTCTCTCTCTCTCTCTCTCTCTCTCTCTCTCTCGTATGGTTTGGTAACATCTAGTGGCAATAGCAATAGCACATAGACTTAAATACTACTTCACAGTGTTTTATAGCCCTCTATAAGTGGTTTACTGAGTCAGCATATTGCCCCCAACAATCTGGGTCCTCGAAAGGATGGAAGGCTAAGTCAACAAGTAGAGCTTGTTCTTGAACCAAACAAAACAAATAATAATTCTTTTGCTCCTATCTGTGCAAAGTTTAAATATGTATAAATCAGTTCAAATTCGGAAATTACCTTTTATAGTAAGAGAACTGAGTAGAACTAATGACTTGGAATTAGTCAGGAATATTTTTTGCCATAAAAAATGACCATTCTTTTTTTTTCTTTTCATATAGATTGTTCACAAGCACCAGCCAGGCCTCCAAAACCACTTCCTCGTAGGACTGCTCCAGAAATACACCATAGGAAGGCACATAATACACCTATAGAAAATGTTGATGCAAAGATTGCAAAACTTATGGGAGAAGGTTATTCTTTTGAAGAAGTGAAGAGGGCTCTTGAAATAGCCCAGAATAATCTTGATGTAGCACGGAGCATTCTAAGAGAATTTGCTTGCTTTCCTCCATCAGTTTCCCCACGACTCAATCTATAGTATGAAAAACCTTGCAGCAAGCCTAATTCTCCATATGTGTGTGTGTGTGTAAACATGAGAAATATTGTACATTTGTGAGATGGGATTCAAGAGATTTTTTTTTTCCTGGATGTATCTTCAAAGACTAAGTTGGAACAATTTTTCAGAATAAGATCAACTGCTCACTTCAAAATATAAGTGAATTAAATCTGTATTTTTGCTAGCCATATTTTTGAATCAGGGTTGAACTGACAAATAATTTAAAGAAGTTTACTTCCCATGAACTTTTAATCTGTGAAATGCATTTTTCCATGTTTACAAGATGGTAAATGACAATTTTAAAGCTGACAATTCTCCTGTGTTCTTGTTCATATTTTCTACTGTGAGGCATTTCCAGCTGTCTTTATACTGATTTGACCCATTTAGTTACTTTTTATACATATATAAGTGCACTCCCCATTTTTATTTTTCAAGGAGCTTTAAAAGCTTTTTGCATTTCTGCTCAAATAAAATGCAAGAAAAATGAGGCCTTCACTACTGATTTTATTTTTCTGGTAGACCATTGCTATTTACACAAAGCAAAATATAATGTGTAGTATGTTACTTTGTTACTGGTCTATTTTAAAAAGGATTTTGACCAGCAACACTGCGTAGCTTTTCTTTGACATGTGGTTGTTAAGTTTCAAGATCAGTATGGTTAACTTAGAAAAATTAAAATATACAAAATTGCATGATAATGACCTGGAAACGTAAATCTTTTTTTATATAGCTATTCAAAATCCAAAAGGTATGGAATTGAAATTAGACTTTTGTTTCTTGACAAGCTTAATGAAAGGCTGTGCGTGCCTTAATATTGGCAGATATATTAAATCTATCAGAATGAATTTTATTATCAGTGGCCAGGTAAATTATTATTTTTGTCTTATGGGAAGAAGTATTTGGTTAATTTCCCGTGTAGATAATTATTTCATTACAGCATTGCAGGAACAGGATCATTTTAAGAACACTTTAAATTTTCTATTACTTCTATATCAACCAATTTTACAAGGATTTTAATTAATTTACATTTTATCTTAAATGTTTATTCAGTCCCCAGATCAACTTATTGTGTTGTGTCTGTATTCCTGAACATAATTTTCCTGCTTTAAGTTGCTAGTAATTTTTTGAAGCACAAGCCAAATCAAGTTTTTCAGTGAATTGCTATAATTAAACCTAGAATAATCACAAAACTGATTTCATTTTCCCCTAGATCAGTATTTTTCAACCTTAGCAATTTTAATATGTGTGGACTTTAGCATGTTGGGTGGAGATTTCTAGGAGTTGAAGTCCACACACCTTAAAAGTTAGATTTTCCAATTTCTATTTTTAAAAACTTAACAGAAATTGTTGATTTGAATACAAACTTAATCTTGAAATGGCTATTTTCCCTATCTTCTCTTAAATCTACGAAATACGTTCTTTCTGGAGAACATTGGCATTTATATTATATTTTGGGCATGGTTCACCATCACTGACCTGTTCAAGTTAATATGTTACATAGTATAAGAGTAGAGACATACAAATGTGTAGGTTAACCTTCCGGTTTTCTCTCATCCCATGTAATTGAGGGAGAAAGATACAACATCTAGAATATTATATGGTTTGGTAGTTTTTCAGTATCTGATGAAGCCTTTGACAGGTCAAAGCGGTAGTAAACATTCCACAAAGATTGGACTTGGTTTAGTGAAATTTGCAAGTAATATAAGAAGCCAAGTATGCCTGTATTCTGTAATGCCAGTGTTACATCTTTTATCCTTGGTCATTTGGAAAATTATAAATGTGTAATAGCAAATGATCTTTACAAGACTTCTGTATACAAACATATTTAAGCAGTCATATTGCGCTATATGACTGCTTCCTAAATGAATCAGTTTTGGAGTCTATCCATAAGCTACTTGCTAGGTTGGAAGTATGACTATATTTCTACAAGGAGAGTCATTCAAAAACTTAAATAATTTTATCATACTTTAACTTTTATTTTACATTCTTTAGCTGGATTCAAAGGGTTGATCAGGTTGAGGTGATTAGGCTGCTGGCTTTGAATGAGTTTCTGTACAAGATCTAAATTGATTTAAATAAAATGATTACTTGCCACATATTTAATATTTTTTCTGATTTATTTTTTAAAAATTACAATTAAATGGTAGTTCAGGAATGCCTTTGGGCTCACATATGCTTGAGAACAGGTAGGGCAATTTATGCCTCCTTGCCTTACAGCTAAACAATTCTAAATAGTTTAAACAGATAGTGATGCTTACCAGTAGTGCCGATGATTTCCTACATTATAGAGCACAAATACACACTCAGCATCTCAAGAGCAAGCCTCTGTTTTAACATTCTTTCCAGTACTCTAATGCAAGTTTCTTTCTATCCCAAGCACATACCTAACGACTTTTTATAATGTGAATTTATTTTGGACCAGAAACATTGTTCTGTTTCTCCTGTTTCCAGCTTGAAGCTTTACTTTGCACTGACCTGGTAAATGTTTTAATTTGTGTCTTAAAGCTTGATACATTTGGAAGCAGACAAGTGAGTTCTAAATCAGGCACAGCCTTTTGACCTGGAACGTAATGCTTCTCAGACTGACTTATTGAAAGGACTTCAATAGTTTTTATTTTGAAGATTTTTCTTCTAAATAACTATTTTATCTGAAAGAAAAATACTTTTTATAAACTTGTTTAATGTGGTAAAATAGTGATGTGATCAATTTATATTTTGTTCATCTTTTTTTTTCAATTCTGAATATTATGTAACCTGAAGTTACTATATTGTTCTTGTAAGGTATTTTATAAAAATTAATGTTAACAAAATGACTTCTCTTTGTTTTCTATCATGCATCACCCACGTTTTGCTATACTGGAACACATCATTCCCACATATGTTTATGCATGCATCAGAATGTATAGATGTGTGTTTGCAAAATAGTTTTTATAGCTGAGTCGTTTATCCTTTGTTGGAATGTAAAGAAATATTTTGAGTTCGCTCAAGACTTGTCTATGCAAAATTTGTCTCCTCATAAACAACAGACCTCAAGAATATGTTTAGCAACCGTATTTGTTTTACAGGGATCCCCACAATAAAGGCTTGGCATCAATAATAATAACATGTTCTCTTATAGGACTAGTTTGTGTGATGCACAAAGCATTACCAAGCATTAACAGCTGGTGAGATCAGCAGCAACCCACTACTATACCTGGTCAGTTATCTTTAATTTACTTTGACTTTAAAAAGAAGCTTATTCAATTCACTTTCCCCAAAGCTATAAACCTACACATCTATTTACCGTTAAGTAGAATTCAGCAGTGAGGTTTATAACTCAAAAGATAATCACAATTGGACAAAATCTCATTGGTCATATAAAAATGCATTCAGCCCCCTAAAAATAATTTTAAAAGGCATTTTACAAAAACAACAAAAATTGTGTCATTTTGAAGATTTTTATCCTATTTAGAACTCATGAAAGTAGGCTTGAATGAATATATAATAAGAAAAGAATTTTGGGTAACGTAGAAATTGGCTGATTTGCTTATCTGTAGATATAATTACTGTTAATTATATCTGTGCTTCTAATCAGAAGTCTTGTTCAATGATCTATTTGTTTGTTTTCTTGGCTGTCCAGAGTCTCTTCAGGAGTCTTCAACCCCAACATTCAAAAGTGTCAATAATTTTCTATTGGTTTTTTTTAAGTCCAGTTTTTACTTCCATAGAATGTCACATGGAATATCATTACTTGCACTATTCTGATGTTTATAGGCATAGATTGAATATTTTCCCCAAGGCCTATATGGATACATTGCCAAGTTGGTAGTCTGCAGCGTATTTCATGACTGTTTATTTTTTTTACAGTTGATGGTTGATCCTAAAGGCAGAAACTATCTACCAATATCTTCACTGTCAACTCTAAGCCTGGTTGTTTTATCTGCTGTCGTTATTTTGGTCTTCTTTATTTAATATCAGTCTCATATTTTCACTAAGTTCCATGACTTTCATTACTATTGCTTGCAGATACTTTCCATTTTCAGCTAGAAGAGTAGTATTTTAGTTTCAGACACACAGTTTACTCAGAATTGGCCTAAGTCCAGATTCTGCCTACAGATAAACTGCCATTTGTTATAACTGACGTGGTTAGGTTTCGTATAGCAGCATGATCCACTAGACTTTGATATGCCAAACTGCCACACAGATATATTTTATATAATTTTATATATTATTAATTTTTATGTTACTTCAGATACCACATTCTATGTAAATTTTATATGTTGTCATATTTACAGTATGTAATTTTAGATACTATCCCATATACAGCCTAAATCAGAGGTAGGCAACCTTGGCTCTTTTATCACTCGTGGACTTCAACTCCCAGAATTCCTGAGCCAGCCATGCTGAGGGGAAAGGGAGAGGTTTCCAAGCTGAGCCATGCTGGCTCAGGAATTCTGGGAGTTGAAGTCCACGAGTCATAAAAGAGCCAAGGCCTAGACAGATTAATCCTTTTGGTTCTTAGTCATGGGTGCTAGTCAGTTTTTTTAGATGTATTTTAATTTCAAGACAGTTTTATTTAATGGTTTCTTAAGATAGATGTATAGGTACTTATAGATCACTCACGGACAGACTTTTATATTGGTCTAAGACTGCAATAAACTGGCTGATTTTAAATATCTCATTTAACGTGAATAAATAAAAAATATACATCCTTATTTACCTCTTTGCCCACTGGAGCCAGTCTTTTTCTCCTTATTTTGCTTGTAGTTATCCTGATCGGAATAAAGGTTTTGCAAGAGGATAAGAATATCTTCTGGGAATTTTTTACTTTAATATTTAATTTACCCATGAATGTGATCACAATTTACAATTTTGTTCTTTACATGCATTTTTTTAAAAAAAATAGTTTTACTTTGCTGCTTGTGCTTATATAATCCTTTAAATTCAAGCTACTCTAGAGAACTAAATACAATATTTTTAAAAGCATTTAACTAAAAAGTATATTGTCTCATATCTTTATTCATGTCCTTGTTTTCTGCCTATCTGGAATTCCTTTTTCAAGATAGTATATTTTTTAAAGTATCTTAGGAGATATATTTTCACTTGCCTGTAGAATTTATTCAGACATTTTGATTTCTTACAATTTTCTTCCTTGATTGTTTTTCCTTTTTTGATGTTTATTTGAATTGTATTATTTGATTTTAAAGGGTATCATATGGTTTATTAAGTAGTACCAACTCTTTTTTAAAAAAAAGTTGCTAAGCATTGTCATTTTGCAAGAATTAACACAAACAAGTAGGAAATGCATTTATTCTAACTTGTGATGTTTTTCAGTGAATGCTTCTACAGCTGGTGGAAATAATTCTCTGTGATGTATTAAAAGGCAATTTCTACCCATAGTCAGAATCTTGGGACTGCACCACTATAGTTATCCAAATTTAATGATAAATAGCATAATAGGTATTATTAAATTTTTAACAATAACTATTAAAACTAGGTTACATATTTTTTTAGAAATATAATTTTTTTATTACAAACCTATGGTATCTTATGCTATACCTGTATTACCATGCACACACTTATGTCTTTATCTTATTCCTCCTCTTTGTTGCTTGAGTTTACATCAAAGTCTTTAGCCATCATTTAGCCACCTTCAAGTTGACTTATGTTGCTGCTAGCTGTTACTCTAAACTGCTGCTGAAGCTTGGCAGTTTCTCAGCCTGGGCTAAGGTGGAATGAAAGGGAAAGGTGCTTTCATCCTCAATCAGCTGCTGATTGATGTTTAATTCCTCAGCATTGCTGGTGGTATGGTGAAGTTGCTGACTTCTACTTTTCCTTCCAGCTTGTCTGCTGCTAAGTTTCATGAAGTTGAAGCCAACTCTTCCTTCACCATTGAGCTAATGGTTGCTCCATTCCTTCCACTTCTAATGCTTCCTTTCTGCAAATGCTTCTTTCTGCAACTTCCTTTCAGCTTCCTTTTCTTTTCCGTACAACACAAATCTTCCTCTAACCAGATCTCCCATGGTTCCAGCATTTTCCTTTTACTGTTAAAATTCAGATGTGGTGCAGTGTCCTTCAGGCTTGCCTTGAAACCTTTCTATGCCACCTTTCTCCCAAGGGAAAAAAACAAGAGAAAGAAGAACACATACTGGTCACTGCAAAGCCTTCCTTCCACAGCTGGCCACTCCAATAGACTTTGGGCTGTACTATTCCGATGAGAGACTCATGCTTATTTCAGTCAACGTTCCGTAGATAAAATCTTCTGATATAGAGTATGTCAATGACTTATGTAAAACTACGTAAGTTTTTGATTTATAATGCATACTAAACTAGGGATAATTTACTCAAATAGAAGCGGAATATTCTTGGATAGATTAATAACTTAATAGGAAGTGAACTAGAATTTTTATCACCTGAGTATAAGCTTTACTCTTGATCTATCATAAACAATTATCTGAAGAAAAAATAGTTTCTCTCTGGTTAAAATATAAATTTTTATGCCCTTACAATACAGGATACTTATATTCTCAAGGAATTCTAACCCTTTCTGCATATGGAAAATGTGGATAACTAGTGTAATAAGGGAGATGGACTGTAATGTACATTTGTTTTATAGCAAATTAGTTATGTGTACATCATACTTAATAATGATAAAGTGGCTAGATTTGCTCAGGAAAAAGTAAAGCATGGTTTATAATTTGCAATGGTTATGTTCCATCAATAACAAATGCTGACTCTGTAAACCGCTTAGAGAGGGCTATAAAGCACTGTGAAGTGGTATATTAGTCTGAGTGCTATTGCTATTGCTATTGCTATTATGGCTTAGCTTGAAATGTGAATCATTAGGATTATAGGTGGCTGATTGGAATCAAAGCAGCTGAGGAAAAGGGGCATTCAAAACAATAATTAATAACCAAGCTTTTAGCCTGGCTCATTTTAGCCACCCTTAAGCCTCAAAATCAAGTTGGATTTATACTTTATGCACCTGTAACTTGCATGTGGAACTAGTCCAGAACCATAAAAAAGCTTAGTCAGATATTTAGTTGTGAATAGTTTTAAAGTTGTAGGAATATATTTCCAATTTCTAATGTGAAAAACCTTTAAAAGGTGTTTCTGAAGGGTTTTTTTTTTTTTTTTTTTTTTGAGCCTGCAGGATCAATCTGTCAATATGCACTTTATAATCACAGGTTTTTAAAAAATCACAGGTAAGTAAATGATTTCAACTGCTCAGTCCCTTGACCTTCTAGTTCACAGGTGTCAAACTCGCCACGTCACGTGACATGTTGTGACATATCACGACTCTTTTTGCATTGCCGGCAATAGGGTGGGCGCAACTTCGGTATGATGAAACCAGCCCACAGGCCGGCAGTTTGACACCCCTCCTCTAGTTTTTCTCATATGTTCCTGAATGTTTTAACAAAAAACAGTATTTTAATCTTCAAGTTGCTTATCACATTTTCTCCAGGGGTAGTGTATTAAGTTGTTAAGGAAAATAATAGCTGCATTTTCTGCATAAAGTAACTGCAGAAGATACATATTTGCAATTCTGGGAGGATGAAAATTTGGGTCTGAAAGTTCTTTAGCCAGTGAGTTTATGCATAGATTAACAGGAATCTTAAAAAGAAGACATACCTTCTTAAAAAGAAGGCATACAATTCCCCTACATATAGGAATTAGCTTTAGTAGCAATCCCTGTGGATTACAATACATTCTGGTCCTGGAGTCCTTATACAAATTCTAGATAAGAAACAATAATTTCTACTCAATGCTGAGATTCTTGCATTTTATCCATAGGGGAGGCCTTGAAATAAAATTAAATGCTGATTTAAGGCCTCATAAAG